ATGAGATGAACTTGTGCAGTGACATCAGATCAGGCTCTAAACTCATTAGGTTATTTTTGTCATTCCTCTTTTTCTGTTCTCAGCAAAGTTTTTGTTTTGAGATGCTAACAAAGGGTTAAAAAGGCTTTGCCTTTGAAATCCTGTACCTTCAGTCTTTGGAGTAAATGAAGTTAGCAGGAGACTTGCTAATGGATCCTTTTTACGGCCTTCCTGCAATCAGCTTAAGAAAAATATGTTTACTGGTTTTAGACAACAGTTCCATGTATATTAACAAGCTGCAGATCATTTAGACCTTTTTTATCTCCTTCACAGGCAGGAACTGGTAGAGCAGCTTCAAGAGACGAGAGAGGAAAAGAAGAGGCTCCGCAAGAACCTGAAAGAGTTTGAGGAGCAATTCTTCCAAAAAAATGGAAGGTAAGATTCTGGCATGTTAACCCAAGCAAGGCTTTACTCCTTTACATGGGAGCTGCATTTACTCATGTCTGCTATCGTGTTGTTTCACAGAACCGTCCAGAAAGAGGACCGCTCGCCACTTGCAGACGAATACCACGAATACAAACATGTGAAAGCCAAACTGCGACTGCTGGAAGTCCTCATCAGCAAAAGAGACTCAACCAAGTTCATTTGAAACAATATAAATAAAAATAGACTAACTCTACTAGTACTGGTGCTCAGTTTCCTGCGATACCAGCACATCTCACCATTGGAATAAACTGGGAACAACGCGCTGCTCTGGAAACACACGAGACCACCTGTTTCTCCTGAAGTTCTTCCTCAGAACTTTGAAGCAAGGACTTTCTCAGACGCACAAATAATCACCGATAATTTATTTTTATTCATTTGAAAGATTTAAGACAATTTGTCTCATATTAAACTGTAGAAATGCTTAAAGTAAAATCCTAATATTATTTAGAAAGTCATGCAATTGTTGCAACTTTTTTTGAAGGGTTTTGTGATGAAGATGCGTATTTATGCCTATTTTTCTAAGGGAGATGTTACTGTGTTTATCACTCTTCACCAAATGAATAGTTTCTGCCGTTTTAGTTTGGTTCCATCGTCTACTTTAAAGAAAAATGTTAATTATGCTTCTTTAGAAGTTTAATCAGATGCTTGCTAATGAACATAAATTGATTTGTCTTTCACTACAACCACACATTGCATTTTAAAAGCACTGATCATCTGCTCATTCTGGTGACCACTTCAGCATCTAATGGGCTGTTTTTCTATATGCTTTTTGCTTTGTCAGATAAGCTGATCACTTTAGTGTTTCCATACACTGTTTAAAGCAGATGACCTGACTGCCTGTTTGTCTTTCTGTGAACTCAGATCACTACGTTTGTTTACGGTCCTGTGAGCAACTACTTCTCTCCTTTCCTACTACAATGGATGATTACCTGTGTACATTTTGTTTTCACTTAGTGTAAACACTGGTCAGGCTCCTGAGTGTGTACATTTTAGTACATAAAAATGTATTTTGTACATAATATGAATTAAATTGTATTTTTACTGATATTTTTTGCCTTAAACTTTTTATTTTTTCTTAACCCTTTATAGGGCAAGTAACTATTTTTGATCACTTGCATAGGTCTAGAAGCGCAAGATCTATATCCAGCCATTCAGCAAAGATCCTGCTACATGGCTGTACATCTTATTTTTGCATTTGACCAATTAGATGAGCACTTGAACGATATATTACCTACTGTAAATTACGTAAAAAAAAGTTAACAAGTCAATAAAAAGGTAAAAAGCTGATTGAAAAGTTAAAAAGTAGAGTTAATAAGCCTAGTTAACAATTATATTTAGCTTTATAAACTAAAAAATATAACAAGTGCGAGTATCTTCATTAATGCGTCTAAGGTTATGTTGTGCCAAAAAACATTTTTCTTTCACTCTCAGTGAAAGAAGTGTTTTTCATGAATTTCTTATAGAAGCACTTTTGTTATTTTTCGTAATATATTCAGGCAAGTTGCCGTTTCTTGTCATTACATTGACATAGATTTTTACCATCAAAATATCCAAATTTTTTAATGTTACAAAGAAAATAAGTTCTTGTCCTGGATTCCAATAACACCATTGGCTGTGCCCTATAAAGGGTTAAAGTTTTATCATTTTGAGCTTCAAGCTGAAAAGAAGCCTGTGAAAATTGATCAAACCTGTTTAGTGGTTGCCATGACAACTGAGAACTAACACAGTGGTTAGGGCCGTCTAGTGGTTAGGGCATAGGGCTTTGAATCCTGAGGTTGTTAGTTCGATCCCCCACTCCCACAGACTCCCTGAGAAAGACCCTTAACCCCACACTGGCTGCCCCGCGACACAATGGGGATGGGTTAAATGCAGAGAAGTAATTTCCCTCTGGGATTATTAGAGTATATAAAATAACATAATAAAAACATGTTAGCAGGCACACCAAGAGATATAGACTACAGTAGAAAGCCCTGAATAAACTGTTTTGCAAAGACTTTAAACTGATTTCTGTTTCAATAAGAACGGAGGACCATTCCCGCCATAATTAAAATCCACAAATAAACGACTCAAAAATATAAACCGTTGCCTAAATAATAGTTTAAAATTTTAATTAGTTAGCCAAAAGTGATAAAAATCTGATTGTATCTTTTCTAACCTTTTTATTTCTTATTTATTCTGCTAACTATCTAACCCAGAAAACAATCAGTTTTCAGGATATTGTTGTTTTTTGGGTGCCTTTAAAATCAAAGCATACACTGCAGACAATGTTTACCACATCTAATCACATCAAACATATTTTAGGGATCTCACGGTTGAATTAACATCATGACATTTGGTGAATGTGGGCAATTTACAGCAAAAACCATAGTATTAATTATTTAAAAGTTATCAGACAAGCAATATATCTGTCCTGATATAGAGGTGAGCTTCTGATCTAAATGTCAGGAATAGTCTACAATCAATCCAGGGAGAGGTTCATTTATCATCCTAATTAAATAATACAGGCCTGGTTGATTGTTAAATAAAATTATTTGCCGTCTAGTGAACAGCTCCAAATAATAAAGACAATTTGCTTTTCCTCCACTTCTTGCTTAAAGGTCTTTGTAAATGTTTTGTATGAGAAAGGATCCCCATCAATCCCGTGGTGGTGGTGTTGTTAGATGCTGCTGTTGCACAAGAGCTGCTGTTATTTTATTTTGTCTGCACATGATGGTCAGTACATCTCCTGAATGATTTGCACCAACTTGCTTGTAGGATCAGTAGCTGTTAGTTGATGTTGAAATTGCTTTGATATGCGCAGAACATTTTGCCGGTCGGCTGAATCGTATTTATAGTCATACCTCAGTGATGCTTTTACCCCTTTTTTTGTCTCCCTGGGTCCCACATCCTTTAACAGACCTTTATGAGGCGGTGATGGCAATTTTGTTGAATCCCATAGTTCTGCTTTTTTTCCTTGTTTCAGAATTATGTTACTTTTCTATAGGATTTAACATCTTGAAGGACTCCGTTTTCCCTTTCTCCCTTTAGGAAAGCATTTCATTAGAAGGGTCATTAGAAGAACCATTTTCATCTAAGGCTTGTAATACTGCCAACTTTGCTGTGGATGCAGCTATTTTGGTTTCCAGGTCAAGCTGCTCTCTTTCTCCTCAGCTGCACTTCCTGCTCATCCAAATTATATTTGCTGGTAAATTTGCAGCATGAAACACAAGTGCTGCCCTTTTTGCCTCAGCCTTTCTGACTGCAAATGATTTGAGGCTTGACCTGCCACTTTTATAGCTTCCATGGCTTGCTTGTTTACTGATATTAGAAATTCTGTCCTCTGGATTAATGTCATCTACAAAATCCTTTTCTTTGCACATCCCTCGTCACACGCAACCCACCTGTTAGTTTATAACAAAGCACTCATCAATAGACAACATTTTTGCTTTAAGTTTTATGTCGTGTTTTTCCCTTTAAACACAAGGTGGCAAATCCAACAAAGAAGTTTGTACATTTTTCACATCTTTTAACACTTCAGTAAAGTCTTCAAGAGTATTTTACACCTGTATTGTATCATGTGTCAACATTAACAACATTTTCTTCCTTATATTTCTGCTAGATTGCAGTTTTTCCAATTAATTTGCAATTTCCTTCACAGTAAGCCTAACCTCACACTTTTGAATTTGTAATTCATTACCGTCCATCTGGTCAAAATTTGTTATTAATTAGCGCAATAGTCCCAGTTATGCTCATGTCGGATGCCGCATAACACATCTCAATAATAATTGGAATGTAGTGTTAACAACTTGCAGCCAAATTCAACACATATGAGGTCCAATGCATTGGATTTATGCCTCATTTTGTGTGCACACATTATACAAGGCCATAAAGTTTTCTCTACATTTCATTACATCGATGAGCTTGTTTGGTTCTGGAATAACAAAGACAGCCAGGCGTGGTAAAAGCAGCTGATTAGTCTGGATAGTAGCAGGCAGAGCACAGTTTCAATGGCAGGACTAACAGTTAGATTAAAAGGGTACAACCAGTCAGAAAAGCACAGAAAGATGCAATAACATCCTTTTGTAAAGGCTGTTGAAGCAGCCAGTTGAAGTTTTATACATTTTTCTTCCCTCAACCTCTGATGAAGGGATGAAAAATCCTCCTTGAAAGATCTAACCATGGAGTAACCAGCAACCCTGTGCTCCATTAAAGCCAAGACAGGCCTGACCCTACACTTAGCCCCGCCTCCCAGCTGCTCTCATCTTAATAACCTCAATATCAGTTTATTGGCTTAAAAGCTTCTACATCCAACAGGATGATTTACAAGAATTAAACTCATCCATATATTCATCAATTGAGCGACATCAAAATGATTGGAGATTCAATTTTTATCCTCAGCTGAAACTGGAGGATTAAAAAATGTGTGTGGAAACCCAATGAGCTGCCCTGAAACGGACAGTCACAGAACGGTTTAGTTTACAGAGATGAGAAGAAAAGAAATACAAACTGTCATCATTCAGAGATCCATCAAAATTAAAATAGAGGCAAACACTGCAGAAATCTTTCATGTTTTTTATTTGAAACCTTGGCGTGAACAGCTAACATTCTATAGCCTTCAGACAAATATGCAGAAAAAGTCACATTTTCTGTAGCACAATAAAATTCAAGGGCTGCACTAACCTTTGCATAGGACTTCAGTGTGAGTGAAAATGAATGTTGAACATGAGTGATCATACAGCAGAGCTGAAGCCAAAGGATGCAGCGTCATTTGAAGGTAAACCCAGAGATTGGACGACATAACTTGGCTGATTCAAGTTATTGCTGAGTAGCTCGAGAAGATATACTTTTTATCACTCATTTCGCACAGGCTGGACTTCAGGAATACACAGAGTATCAGGAAAAGCTCTAGAACAAATGGTAGCTAAATCTGATCAGACTCATGTTTGCCAACGATTTAATATACACGTCATTAAAATAGTTAATCATGACAAATTTAGTTACTATTAGTTGATATAGCTGCTAATTACATGAACTGATAATATTCTAATATATTTAGCTCCAAGTGAAATTTTTGGGACATTCTTCATGCTTCTTTGACTCTTTACTCATACGACTGGAACCTGCAGCTGGCATATCGCATCACATCCAGCTCTCTGGAACAGAACCAGTCGTCGTATTTTCAGATAAATTCCCACCTAGAACCTGGTGCCCCCACCGACAAGCACACAGACAACACCCAGGGACTAAACGTCAGCTTCATGTCCTTCCAGAAGGCAACACTGTTGAATGCAAGTAAAAAGGTGTCAGCTGTTTCTGAATTTACAGCTAAACTGGAATGAACCATTAGGTTGTTTCCCTGGAGCCTTCGTCAGCCTGCAAAGACTCCTCTGCCTCCCACCACTTTAAATGTCAGGCGAGGACATCCTGGTGTGCGGGGTTTAAAGGATCAGCATTACTATGGCCCCTCCCAAACACCAGAGCTTTAGGTTTGATTACATATGCTGTGTTCCAACAATATACATGTTCAAGTCATCAAAATATAAAACACTCTGTTTGATAAATTAAAAACAAAAGCAAACATACTGTTTCAGGATAATAAGATGAACATTTCAAAGGTGAAAAATAGAATTTAAGGAATATAAAATACACAGATTTGCAGAAGGAAAACGATGCTAAAATCCAGAGGTTTCCTCACCATTACTGTTTTCTGATGTCCAGACATGCAAATTTCCATCAGCGATCTCTTTATTGAAATACTTAGACTTATTTCCAATCATAAAATCCTAATTTCCAGCAGTAAAATTAATGTAAAGATATATAAGCACATAAACCTTCAAAGTTTCAGGATCTCAAACAATCTTCATCCCACCATTACTCCCCCAGATCTGTTAAAGTGCGTTAAAGTCCCCCCTCAGACCAGGCTGAAGCCCTCGTACTGCTCCACAGCCTGAGTGAGGCGGCGTTGCAGGATCTCTTTGGTCTGGTAGCGGGGCATGTCCAGGAGGTTGTAGCAAGTGTGAGCCACGGGCAGGTAGTCTTCCTCTGCCGTGGTGGACTGGATGACAATCCGGAGGCTCTCCATGCCGTGGATGGGGATGCGGTCGCTGCCCGTCAGGAACACTGTAAGAAGGACGACAGAGTTTCACTTCAACCCAATGAATTTGAAAGAGATGAACTACCATCAAGTCATTTTGCAGTCTACCTTTCAAATCAGTTTTACTGTTTTCAAAAGAAACTTTGACAATCAAGATTTTTCATAGCTACAGAATTTCTGCAGGTTGTTTATATTTGTTTTTTTTTTTATGTGGACTGAAGGACGAGCAATAAAGAAAAGTACTATTGGAAGCCAAAAGCTGTACAGGTTAATAAAAAGCAGTCAATCTGCAATGCAGACAGCCCAGTGTGTAGAAAAGCAGACTGAGAACCTACAGGAGAGTCTTGCCACCAAAGAAGAATTAAAACTCTTACATAAAAACTGCTTCTTTTTCTCCAGGGAGAACTCATGAAAAACCTCCCAGAAAAATCGGACGGTGGGGTGAGTGGCGGAGTACTCCCCTTTGTAGACAGCGTTCTGCGACAAGAGAAAAAACATTCAGATCAGATCGCATCAGATGTGGCTCCTGCTGAAGTTCACACCTGATGCTCTGAAAATACCATACTAAGAGGTGTATTTACTAAAGGTGACACATTGTGGCTTGAAAGTGTGTTTACCGGGGTAATTGTACTTACAGGGTATGTGCAGAGCAATTACACACAGGGTACTTAAAGGAATATTTATCTGCTTGGTCGTTACGGTTTCTGGAGGGGTTCTACATAGAGCCAAGTAACATCAACTACGGTGATATTAACCAAGCTACTTTCAAGGTAATATTATTACACTGGCATGGTATGACAGGATTCCATGCAAACGACCAACATGTTCCTTCCGGATACCATTCTGCATTAAACCAGGGAGCCAGCTTTCTTCTTTTAAAGTTTTTCTTTTTCAAATGGGCTATGCCGTCTAAGGCAGTATGCAGGGAACTAGTAACACTGTCAACAGAATCATCAATTTGTGAAGGGGAATAAATGAAATGTCTTCCCTCTGCAGTATTGTTCAGTGACACAGAGGAGATAAAAAGTGGATTTATAACAGCATTATCTGGTAATGATCTGCAAAAGTGAAACCTTCTTTTAGGGGAGGAGAACTCTTAAAGTAATCCTGAAGGTTATCAAAACGTGGTTAGAGAGGACAGGGTTGTGAGGAAATGCTGTTATTACTTCACATTCAATGCCATATGTCAGCTCAAGGTCCAAAGTAGGAAGATGAGAATGTGTGGGGCTATTCACATTTTGAACAAAGCCAATTGAGTAAAAGATATCATTTAAGCTTTCACCTTCGATGTCAGCATTGGTATTTGACACTAAATTAGATGGGAAGTCTGAAAGCTGATGTAAAAATCCAGAGTAAGGACCTGGTGGATGATAGAAAATTACAATCAGAAGGGGTTTTGTTGCTTTGCAATTTAGATGGGGAAAACGAGTTAAATGTTCAAAAGCGTTATATTTACTGGATTGGGAGTAATCAGTAAGTCAGATTGAAAAATTGTAGCAACCCATCCTTGCCAAGATTTTCTGGGTGTGTGAATATCTATTAACTACAGGGAGTTGCCTCATTTATGCTCACATAATCAACTTGCTGCAGCCAAGTTCCTGTAAGGGAACATAAATCAATTTGATTATCACAAATTAAGTTATTAACTAACAAACTTTTTGAAATATCTTGTATTAAATAAACCATATATTATTGTTTTCACTTTATTTTAGACATTTTAATTTTAATTATCATAATTTACTCCTTTATGATTGTTTTCTCATTTATTTGATTTTGGTCGTTGGCAAAACACTGTCTGGATGGAGTAACGAGTGGATAACGGTAGAGAAGCTGCAGAGAAGTGTGTTAAACTACAACTATGCTTCCTGGTCTGCACCCTGGATTGTCAGGGGTCTGGAGGACAAATAAATGTTGCCAGATTCCTTTTCCCTTAAATGTTGCTAATTATTCATGTAGCCCAAGTTGTTTTCAGGACAATAGTAAATAACAATCGTACTGTATTTAATCTATCCTTAGCCAGCAGTTTCAGGTAGGATTTGATGTTGCCCGTTCTGGCGGTTCTGGCCAACTCAAACTTCTAAAGCAGGGATTCTTACTCTGAAACCCTCGCCTCCCAAGCTACAAAAATACTACATCTAACATACATACCATTATCACTAAACGAGGCAGAGGAATAACTGATCATCTGACAAAGAGAGCAGTAGAGAGGAGAGGAAGATTTAAAGAGTCAGAAAGGAGTCAGGCGAGTCAGGGAGAGAAGCCATGGCAGTACTAAACTAAGCTTGCTCTAGCCTAGGGTAGCTACCCCTAACTACCAGCACCACATCATCAACGTGATGCGGTGCGATGTGTTGAGAACTTTATTATCATCACTTAAGATATACAGAGCCTATTTCCAGTCAACCAGAGTGACTGTTGTTTCTAAAGAGTCCGTTAAAGATATACATAAGTTCCATCTGACGTTGATAATTAGGTCAAATATAAGAGGGTGAAAACTGCAGATCAATATAATTACATCAAAGGTGTACTTCTGCCAAGCTGCCAACAACCGGCCTCTGCATATCTGCCATGAAGAAATGACCTTTCTCCCCCCAATAAAAGAGAGAAAAAACAAGTCTGTGTTTTCATGTACTCTGCTGAGTAGTGTTTTTTTCTGTTAATAAGGGCTTCCAACATGTGAACATTTTAGTATCATCATGGGAAAGAGCTTGAGGCATGTAGGTGAAAGGCCAGGGAGGCATTTTAAGGCTTTGGTTTTTTTTTTTTTTTTTTTTACAAATAAACATTTCTACAAAATGCTAAAAACAGAACAAGGTGTGAGAACCAAGAGAGTTCTTGCATAATGACAGCCATCAATGCAAAGGTTTGCTCTGATCCAGTCAGGTTCCAACAGCTTGTAAAGAGAACCAACTTGATTCATTATTATGTAAAAGTCGTTTTTCCAGCTAAGAGCAATAAGGAAAGAGAAACGGTCCAAAAAAGGCTCCAACATTATTTAAATCCTTGAATCGAAAAGCAAATCTGAACCCTTTCTCTGTCTCAAATGTCTAAAAGCTGCGGTTAAGTCTTTTTTGTTAGATCTCAGTGCAGCATTTGATCCAGTCAATCTATATATTGTTTTAGAAAGAATTCAACATTTTGTAGGAATTAAGGGAACAACACTAGACTGTTTTAAATCTGATTTATCTGACATATTTCAGTTTGTTTATGTTAATGATAAATCTTCTTCATGCTCCAGGGTTATCTGTTGAGTACCACAGGGATCAGTGCTAGGGCCAATTCCCTTGGGAACGATTTCCACTGTTATGCTGATGATGTTATGTGATGAACTATGCAATATGATGATACTATCGGTCTACGATACTATCGGTCTATGAATCCAGATGAAACAAACTCATTACATACACTAAAGGTATGTCTTGAAGCCATAAAAAAACTGGATGACTCTTAACTTTCAGAGATTTACAAATCCAGGTGTTCTTCCCACTGTTATTTAATGATATCAATAGTCTCAGGTTATGTGTTTAAGAAAGTTTAGATCTTCCCAAATGTTCCCTTACAACTCATCTTTAGTTTAAGGATGGAGTCTACAAGAGATTCAGGCAGACAGGATGAGAAATGGATAAATGATGCTGAGGTAATGGGAGCGCGGGATGCTGAATTTAGACACAAGTTTGTCGCATGATGCAAAAGTACCGTCAGTAAACAGATCTTCCACAGCAACAACTCCTCTTCCTATTCAGAAAGAGCTTCTTCAGTAGTCGAAGGTATAAAATGAAGATTTCGGAGTACATCTTGACAGGTTTTAACAGAAAATAGACCTGGGTCCAAATCTTAAGAGAGGGCTTTACGAAAAAGTTTGAGGTACATTTGGCTATACATTTAGACTAAGGTAGTTATGAACAAAGTAGAGAATTAAAGGAGGAGTGAAGACAGGAAGAAGCTTCCATTTGTGACCATACTGAGAGGGCACAGTTAGACTGATTATTTCCACTGTACCATTGCTTTTATTTTCATTGCATTCTAACTTTATTAAGGACTCTGGAAATCAGGTCCATAGAAAGAATTGGAAAGTAAGTTATAAAAAAAGACATTTAAAAACAAAGTTTTAATGTTTGCAGGTCAATAATAACATTGAAAATTAATTTTCAACTAAAATTTATCCTTAAACCAGAGTTTTAACCTGATATTTTGTCGGAACTTTGGATAAGTTATGCAAAGGGTCTGATAGGTACAGGAGGATATCATCGGCGTAGAAAGACACCCTATCAGTTAGATATCTCTGGATTCATTCAATAGAATCATAGAGTCATAGGGAACAGCCCTGTCGGGTCTCTTGGCAGAGAAGTAAACAAGGAGAGTGGTTATTGTTTGTATGGACAGCTGCTAAGGGCGAATACTATACCATTTTTTAAAGAGATTCATGTTTCAAAAATGTTTGAGTATAAAAAAAAAAGAGAATCCCACTCAACCCGATCAAAAGACTTCAGGGACATCTGGCAGAAGGGGACTATTAAAGGCACACTATGCAACATTTTTCAGTTAATTAATGTGTTCCATAACTTTTTGGATGATTAAATGAGTCATTTCAGGTTGAACAAAGGTATTCTCGGCCGCCCTGGTGGTCTGTGGGGGAAATACTGCACTTGCAATTGCAGGAGCACCGACCCGCACCCACAGGCTCAGAAGTCTCACGAGAGTCAGTCTTGCTTTACGGCGAGAACTGCTACACCCCCCAGTTAAAAGCATTCTCGTTGCTAGCACAGTGGCGATCTTTGTGCAGTTATGCTACGTTCACATCGGACGCAGCAAAATCGCGTCTGCTGCTTCATTTTTGCTGCTTGTACCAGTTAGTTCTGACGCGCGGCTGAAGCAGCTTTGCTGCTCTGGCTGCGCGGTGCAAAAGTGTGTCTGACGCGCGTTGGGCGGAGCTTCACTATCCTTTCTCTGCCTTGCAGCTATATTTGCTGTGATCAGTGGGAATAAAGTAGTTTTAATATGTTTTTAAGTGAGAAAATAAACCTGAAAACGTAATCAGTGCCGTCAGTTCATTCAGATTATCATCCTGCCTTCAATATTTTTTCTGTCGGAGCCGCTCAGACCCCCACATACCAGCGGTGCGCCGACAGTCGGAATCCCTTCATCAGCAGCCTCTGGCCGGGTCACCTCCTCGCAGTTCACCGGGGCAGCTGGTAGGTGTTTTTCATCTAAATAATCCAAACTGCATATTCTGCCGGCAGATTTCTGCATTTTAAGTCAATTTAGGCGTCAATAAACTGTTTAAGAGGAGTGATCATAGCCTCTGATCATCAGCGCTGTGTCTCTCTCCCTGCGTCAGATGATTAAACGCGCCCGACGCGCTGCTTCAGCTGCTCAGACGCGCTGCGCCTGCTGCTCAAAACGCGCCGCGGGACCTTTTGCTGCGCCTTGACGCGCGTCAACCATTGACTTTGCATGTAAACTCGCTGCTTCTGTCGCGCCAGCTGCGTCCAGTGTGTGCATTCGTTGCGTTCGCCTGTCTGCTAAGCTCAAAACAACCGCGCCTGGCTTGACGGAGAAACCAGGAGAACAGCTGTGCATATTTACGACAGTGCACTTTTACTTTCGCCCTCTGGGGGGAGCCTCGCTGGAAAATCAACACCGGTTGCATAGTGTACCTTTAAATAGGTAGGTGAAAGAATCACGACCTTTGATGAAGTCAGTATGGTCAACAGCCACTATTGAGGACAGAATTTTCATCAGGCGACTTACTAACTTTTTCCAAAAGGTTTTGCTTTCAACATCTAGAAGTCAAATGGGGCAAAATTTGAGAGGCTTCTTATCCTTCTTAGGAATAAGAGAAAAGACTGCTTGTTACATAATAGGAGGGAGAGGGTAAGTAGCAAAAGACGCTTCAGAAACAGAGAGTAAGAGGACACAGTTTTCCCTGAAAAATGTCATCACAGTGACAATCAAGACTTACCTTTTCCATCTCCTCCCAGTTGTAATTGTTGTTACCGACCACCATGGCCATCAGCTCTGAGGGCTGAAAGAGCGACAGGATCTCCCCTCCACACACTTTCAGGAAACCAGAGGAGAAGGCCGAGTACTGCTCGCTCACCGAGTCTGAGAACACGTAGCGAAGGTAGGCCTCCACGAACTCCTTCCTGTAACACAATCAGTCACCAACTGTTAGAATCAGGGCTAAAATAGTGACACATCTGATCATCGTTCCGCTGTCCTTGTGTCCTGAGATGAAGCCATTAACATCTCAGAGACCTTGTTCAGCAGAGGTTTTCTAAACAGACTAAAGTGATTCTCTATTCGGTTATGCTGGACCAGCAAAGACAACATCGCTTTCAACCTGCTGCACTCTATACTTTTAAATCTAACTCTGCTTATAATTTTAGTTTATTTGTTAAATAGTTTTTTTCCCCAAAGAACATGTTTAAATAATGTTACGGGGTAAGGGAAAAATCTGCTAATTGATTTTATGGTTAAATTTAAACTGAGGGGCTGCAGGGTGAAAAAGTTGGCAGCACTCTTGCTTTGCAGAAATAAGGTTCTGTGTACGATTCCCAGACTGCATATCAGAGGTTTAGAGCAGAGGTCTTCAACGTTTTCCAAGCTAAGGAACCCCAAACTGATGGCGAGATGGAGCGGGGACCCCCTTATTATATGTATTGTATGAAATAGTGTTATATCAACCTGTTCCTATAGTCACTCTATTACAGATGGAGTAATGTAACAAAAGTAATTTCTCCCTGGGATTATTAAAGTATTTCTGATTCCTGGTTGATGGGAAAGCTTGAAAGAGCTCCTGTGTGTCGCTGAATGTGTGCATTGATGACTGAAAGACATCTTCTGCCTCCATTTATCTGTTTACTACAGTGTGTTGAATTCATGTTAATGTGTATTTAAAGACATTTTAATTAGTTGGAAAAAATTGCAACCCCCATGCACTACCTCAGAGCCCCTAGGGGTCGCAGACCCCCTTTCTGTCCAGATGAATTAAGCATCAGTCCCACTGACTTCTGCTCAGCCTGTAAGGATCTAAGCTTTAACACCACAGGTTACTGCAACCTACTGAAGGAGAAGAGCTGAGTTTCCTTTTCTGCTGTTTTTATCACCATTGTTTCTGAGATCAAGCTTTCTGTTTTTAAGGAAATCTTATTTGGAGTAACTGCATAAAAAAGATGTTTAACTTTTCATCCAAAGAGGAAGCCGGGTGTTGTAAATGCACTACACAACCTCAGCAAGAACACACTGTTTTCCTCCGTTCACCACTGTCAGGTATGTTGACACTGCGTGCCTACCTGCTCCTAATAAACCCGCCGGCTAGCTGATGGATTTGATCTTAGAGCTGCCAAACCTGTTGTTTTTGTCCACAGTGATGTCTTCTCCTCCAGGAACCAACTCCTTGGTTTCTGTCATCCCATAGTTTTCCCTGGTGATCTAAGATGGAATAAATAAAAAGAAAAGTTTAAACTTTTTGATCCCAACAGTGATGGGGAGCTCTGCAACGGAGGAACCGTAAATGAGAACTTCTGACTCAAACTGAACATCTTCTAGGTGCGCTAATCAATGAAAATATACAAAAACTGATTAGTAAAACCTTTCCTCGGGTTACAGAGGGAGGATGATCCAAGTTCAGTTAGGTTTACTTCAAGAATAATAGAAGGAAATTTGATCTTTTGCATCTGATGTTGAAGCGTTCAACAAAAGACAGTTCCAACTGTGACCTGGACACTGACTGGGGGTCAAAAACTCTTAACGGCTCTGATGGATCCATTAAATGGATTAAGTGCTGGGGTACCTTAATGGGACCATTTAGCGCATTAACTAAGTGGACTCCTATGAACCAATTAGAGGTAGAAAACCAGAATTAATATCAGCTGCTTTAACTAATACTACTATAGGTGATCTTAAAGGAATAGTACACCCAAAACATTATTAGCCTTCTTTTTCTACTCACCCCCATGCTGAACAACACTCTGGAGTACTTTTTTGATATCTCAAATGCATCTGGAGATCTGGGAGGCTTCTTGCTGTCTGCTGACATTCAAATAATGGAGGTCTATGGCGCCCGAGGCAGAAAGGTCCATAAAAGTCCACAAAAAACGTGTCAATATTCCTCCATACTGCTCGTCCAATGTATTCCAAGTGTCCTGAGTGGGTAGCATCCAGAATTTACTCGAAACAAAGTCATTTAGAATGTTTTTAGAGCATAAACAGTAGTGTATAGGACTTCCTGAAAGCGCGCGCCAGCGCGTTCAGGACGCTACGGAAGCCGGCAGACCAAACCAGATGAAAGTGCGCATTCAGCGTCTGCTCTGCCGATAATGCAAGCGTAGAAGAAGAAATGTGCTGTTTACCTGTGCAAAGAAAGAAACAATGAAAGAAAAATGTCTGAGGACTTCAGTGTTGAGGAAGAGCATGAGTTCTTTGCCGAGCTGAATGCGCTGGTTTGGTCTGCCGGCTTCCGTAGCGTCGTGATCGCGCAGGTGCGCGCTTTCAGGAAATCCTATACACTACTGTTTATGCTCTAAAAACATTCTAAATGACTTCGTTTCGAGTAAATTCTGGATGCTACCCACTCAGGACACTTGGAATACATTGGACGAGCAGTTTGGAGGAATATTGACACGTTTTTTGTGGACTTTTATGGACCTTTCTGTCTCGGGCGCCATAGACCTCCATTATTTGAATGTCAGCAGACAGCAAGAAGCCTCCCAGATCTCCAGATGCATTTGAGATATCAAAAAAGTACGCCAGAGTGTTGTTCAGCATGGGGGTGAGTAGAAAATGAAGGCTAATCATGTTTTGGGTGTACCATTCCTGTAAGGTGGATTAATCAGAATAAGTTCTGATCAATCAGCACCAAATATATAAAAAAATAGATTAACTAGAGGTGTCAAATTGGAGAGCCTGCTGGAATGCGCCACTGAATAGGAAATAATTGAGGACAACTGGGATATTAAATAAACTGGCCAAGATGAGCAGAAAAAAAATCATGGGGATCAGAATAGATCTGTGAGGAACACCGAGCCGAGCTACTCTGACCATCGTTCAGGAGCAGGTCTTTGGTTGGGCAACAAGCCCAAACACTCCTTCTCAACCCAGAACCAAAATAAGGTCCGTGGACTTGGTCAAGTGTCCCAATACTCCTCTCTGCCCTAACCTAGTTTGGTTCTTATTGATGTAGCTGGGTTGTCCTGTTCTCCTATCAGGAATGATTATAGTAGGGGAAAAAACTGCTTCTTCGACACACATGAAGGGATCCATGCCTCGTCCTTCATCTAAACTCAACGGTTCAGCAGGAAATCCATCAAACTTTTACTGATATGATTTGAAACAGTTACTAACAGCAAAGTTGAGAAGAAACGTCTCTTCTATGTCTCCTCCTTCATAGTCTAGAAGTTGCTGAAGACTCCTGGTGGGGGAAAAGAGAATGTTATTGAAGACCAAGCTTCTAACATAAGAGAAAATATCAGAACCACTAAACCAATAAAGGACAGAGTTAAGCCTGTAGGACTAGAGCTCAACCAGTCTGACAGAGAGGCTGATTCTGCTGTGATGAGGTCATCATGGTATAACTGGAAACAAACTGGAGTTGGTTTGTTACACCGACTGGGTAATAGTGGATGTAAATGCTAACCTGAGCTCTGAGGCAGATCATAAGTCATGTTAACTAAACTCTTCACTGGAGTATAAACAAAGCAGACAATGGGATAAACTCATTCATAGCAGGAGCTGTGCTCTATTTGTATTCTTTATTTGTATTTTGCTTAATTTTAATTTAATTTAACTTAATACTTTTTTGTTGCTTAATTTTAACTTAATTTAACTTAATACTTTTTTGCCCTGTAAGCTGCTGGTAACCTTAATTTCCAGAGGGAGTCTTCCCCAAAGAATCAATAAACTTCAGTCTAAGTCTATAACTGGAAAAGAAACATAAAAAACAAAGCATACCTGGCCTCTGTGGGCGACAGCTCTTTAAAGTCCTCCAGTGAAGGCGACACGTTCAGTAACTTCTTGTAGAGAGCCAGAGGAAAGTGCAGATCCACCACCGTGGCGTTATAGATGGCCAGACCGCAGACGATCCCGATCAGATGAAACCAGTTCTGCTCCACAAAACACTGGACACATTCACAGGAAGGTCAACCTTAATGATGGATGCCTGCTCTAAATCTCTCATCCTTCCACCTTAAAAAGGGCTTTGTTTTTTTATTTCTCTTTGTTTAAATCACATCACTGTGTTTGATTTCATTCTGCTCTCAAAACTATACAAACAGCTTTATATACTATCACTACATTGATATTTGGGCGAAAGTTCTCACCTGCTTTTTGGATCTATAAGTATGACTTGATGGAAGAGACCTTAGAGTAGAATAAAGCTGTCCTTTAGTAGAGGAACCCTTGTTTTAGCAGCAATGAATACATTTACAAACTAATGCTGTACGGTTCTTAGATGCTGCATATCCAGATCAAATGACACAAGCAACTAAGAAGGATGCATTATTAAACAGGAAATGTGAAGTAGGGTTTTAGTCAAGTTTTAGTCAAGAACACATAAACGGAGACCAAGACATGGCCAAGATCATATAACAGGAAAATCTTTTTTATTTTGTTTTTGTTTATCAAGACACATCTCACTTGTAAATGAGATCTTGGATCTCAATGAGAGAAGCAGGATATTTAGCTCATCTAGTTTACAGGTGATCCTATTCAGGATCTCTAATTCCGGCCATGCATTCTAGAGCTGTTCTCCGTGGTTCACATCAAAATCACTCATAGGATCGACTGTGAACTAGGTCTTGCTGACTCTGCAAAGCCTAAAAATCCAACTGGAAACAAACTTCACAGTGGTTGAGAATACACTGTTCCTCAACAAACGCTGCGCAATATGCAGAGATAAATCAATGGTGCTGAAACAGAGGAGCCTTCCCTCTCGTTTCAAAGTAGTGAAGCTGTTTTTTTTGTACAGATCAGTTATCAGCTGCTCTCTCTGTAGGCAGCACAGCTGTTTGAAATCACTCCAGTAACAGATCTGCCAACTCGGATTATGTAGTCATATTTAATAACAAATATGATTTTTTTTTTTTTATATATATATATCTGAGGATCGAAAAACATGAACATGTGTGTAGGATCTAGGAATGGTGGAGTTTCAGGGACATCTTCCATCACAAAGGGGCTTGTTTAGTAAACCATGCTCCACCTGCTTTACCATTGAAACTCTCCTGCAGGTCAAATATCAGCCTGCATGCATCATGCAGAGGATTGCATCAATCTAACAATAGGTCACCAACTTCTAAAACAATTTTCAAACCTCACTTCGGAAAGGTTTTTTTGGGGGGATTTAACAAGACCATTAAAAGGCATTCCTGTTCCTACGATTTGATCCAACACAAGAAGACGTCATTTAATCAGAGGAGGGCTCATTTGGTCCTACTGCAGAACTTACTTTGTCTGAGAACCACAGCAGGTTGGATTCATTGTAATGAGTGAACATCCCATAGACCGGATCCAGAAGCTCCTTCAGCAGCAGCAGGAAGAACTCTTTAGTGACGCCGCCTGCATCCACGGCCTCCTCGCCATCAAAGATCACCTGGAGGGAAACAGAACCATGGATGATCCTGAAGGTCGGACATTGGGAGGGGCTCCTACAGATGGTTCAAATCTGAACTTTAAGACTTATTATTATTCACTTATATATAACTTTTTGCAGTAAAAACAGCAACAAATAAAAAAAACATCATAATGAAAAGATTCTTCTCAAAATAAAACTGTTTGAGTCAATACAGATTAAAGTTGATCAAAAGCCCAAATTCAAAGTCTCACATAATCTGGACCTTGTTGAAGAGGTTGTAACCGTGGTGACCAATACCCGCATGATGTTTTTGATCAATATGAACACTGACCACGCTACATGATGCAGGTTCTCCCCGCTGGGTCGGAACATCCTGTCTGTTGGAGGTACCAGCTTGCTGTCTAGTAGCGTCCAGTGCGCTTTAAACATAATGTGGTTCAGCTGCTATCTAAGAAAAATTTTGGGCCCAAAAAGCTGGTTTAGATCTAGACTGGCCAACAAACGGGCCTGATTAGAACCCCATAGAGAATCTATAGCTTGTTGTTGAGATGAGACACCAGAACCAGCAAGGCCAATGACCTGAAAGCAGCTATCAAAGCAACCTGGGCTTCCAACAGAACCACAGGCAGGAAAATATCTGCAACTTTCCAAAAGAGTTAAAAAACAATCCCCTGTTGATTGTTTTTTTTAACTCTTTTGGAATGGCTATGACCTGGATGACTCAGAATCTTCACCAGCATCTGAAACTTTCTAACAGAACTCGAACATTTGAATATGGAACCTCATTTTGGGAATTTCAGGGATTATAACTGCTAAGGTCAAAACAAAATGTAACCAACAGCAGAATGACGATAAAAGCAACGTTGTAGAAAATTTGTATATCAAGGATTTCACAAACATAGTTACAGTATAGCCATTCAAAATTTCCCCACTTTCCTTGGCTGGTCCCCTACAATTTCTTTTTAAACATCAATCTTTGTACTAAAATATTCTTTCTGTCATGATTTGTAGACATTAAGATCTAAAAAAAAAAAGCGCCCTCTCTTGGTTAGACCCTGTAATTCAGTGAAAGGCTGGAGTCATAGTAGAAAAAAATATGCACCCCCAGGAGAAGGACGGGTTCACTCTAGTGGCTGGGAGTTGGCTGCCATTCGGCTGGCGTTGGACTGGGAAGGGCCATTTTGAATGGCTGCAACTGTAGGCAGACCAGAATAGATCCAGTTCTACCGTCTCTAGAGGTTCTACAGAACCCCTGAGGACTCTGCTCACCTTGAGTGGCTTCTTAAGGTCCACATCAGAGTACATGGTGAGCTCCCGCAGCGTGTCGCTGACTAAATGGTCCCTGCGCACATGGAGCACCAGATATGGGTTTCTAGCCAGGTGGGGCTCCAGCGTGAGCAGCATAAAGACGTTGTGAAGGTTTGCACCGCTGACTGCCATCTTAGCAGCGATGACAAAGAAAGAGACAAATTATCAAGATGACATATTGGACATTTATTAAAACAAATCCCCACTTCACTAAAGTTTATGTATTTAATTCCAGATTTTATTCATTCATTTTCTGGGGAGACAGACATCTTTACCCTGATCGGCTGGTTACCTGCATCTGCAGTTCAGCGTCTGTTTGCAGCATCGTCGTCTTGGCTTGGGCATTCAGGATGAACGGGAAGGCACAGAGGTTCACTGAGGCAGAGTCTTTCTGCTGGTTCACAACAATTAAGGCCTTAAAAACCCAGCAGTACAAACACTCACTGAAGATGTTTCAGATTCAAGGTCTAATTACCTGCGAGGGGGATGAGCCCATTTTCTGTGTTTCAAAACAAGAGGCAGAAATCGAGAAAGAGAAATCAGCCAACGATAATGAAAATCCTGCTCTTTTCAGTGCAGGGGTTGGGAATCATGCAAGATGAGGAATTAGTGACGAACAACAAAAATAAACACCCCACTCACAATCTCAGCTTTTCTCAGAAACCATTTGAGGTAGTCTCCCTGGATGTCCACCAGACTGGTGATATCAGGAATATAAAAGCGACTGTATTCCACGTGGTTAGCCTTTAGGTTCACCTGGTGACACAAAACAAGCCTGTATTTGCAAGAGTGGAAATGTCAGAGCAGAGCCATGCTAGAATAGAACCATGAATGGATCCAGAGTCTGGTCCAGATTATTTCCATTATCGATTAAAGAGCAAATTACAGGTTACATTTTTGACAAAATGCAAACTAATGGATAATATCTGAAAAGTCCATTTAGGATTTAAAGTGTTTTGGCCACATAATGAAGTACATTTACCAATAAAAGTGACAATTATCAGCATTGTTTCTGTAAGCTGCTTTTGTTTTTCCACAAATGTTGCGTCATTTGACGTCACGCTGAGAAGTCAAATAGTTGGCGCTGCTTCAGCACCAACTATTTGACTCCACTATTTGTGGAGTAGGTAGTTATCAGGTAGAGCGGACATGACATTGAGCTTGGTAGAGGTTTGAGATTGTGTCTAAATGCTGAAAGATTGAGAATTTATTAAAACTTGTTCCCTCAGAGGGACTAAGATACCAGCGCTGTTCCCCCTGATGCAATTCTTACAGGAGCAGGAGAGTCAGTAAACAGGAGATTTACAACACACTTGCATTTTGAGCTCAAAACTTCTCGACCTACTTGCCATGTCAATGTGTATCAGCGTACTTCAGTGTGCTTCACCATATTTCAGCGTGCTCGTAACTTATGCAAAACTGAACAAAACTTATCCGATGTATGCCAGCGTTTTTGCCAGATTTTACATACGTCAGGCATACGCTGGCTAAATCATCAAGGTGTGACAGGGGATTGAGTTACTGGCAGCAGCCGATGAGTCTAGATACCTTGTGGAGTTTCTCGAGCAGCCGCAATGTGGCCAGGAAATAGTTCTCGTAGAAGATGGGTACCATGATCGTCTTGCCGCCAGTCAGCATGAACACAACAATGCTTTTGTACATGTCAACCATTCTGGTGAAGAAGCTGTCATCCATAAAGCACCACCAGTTATCTTTCAGAGAAGAGAGGATTCAAGACAAAAAGGAAAACTTCAACTTTGGCTGTTGAATTTGTTTAAAAAAACAAAATTAACATATTACCTGAAAGAAATTTTGCATTATTAGTGTTCATTGAAATATAATACCCAATACTTTGCTGGGATTGGTGTCTAGTCGGAGAATGGCCATCGCCAGGGGAATAGTGAGTCGGATGTAGTTGTTGGAGTCCTGCAAGGCGGGGTACTCGGACAAGATGAGGAAGATCCTCATGGCTTCGACATCAGGTGGCGAGCGTGGCAGCTGGGGAATTAATAGGCTTTGGAAACTCTTGGTGGCCTAAAAAACATGTAGTTGTTCAGGTGGTTAATTAATTTAAAGGTTATTACAGAGGGAGGACTTCGTTATAGTAGATGGTAGATGGACAGCAGGGCTGTGGTACAAGACTTGAGACGAGATGGACTGCAGCCTCGTTACAAATTCATGTTGCAGTAATGTTTCAGCTTTATTACCTGCTCCAGCAGTCCAGAGAAGGCTGGTGTGCTGAGAACCTGGAACAGCATTCTGACAGAGTTCAGATCAATACCCGGGATCTTTGGGTTGGTTCTGAAGTGAGCATCATCACTGAGAAAACAAAAACATAAGCATATAGAGCTGGTATTATTGGGATTATAATGAGCAAATTGTTATGGTTCACATTTAGGAGCAAATCTAAAACGAAAAAAACTTTTGTCAAATCTTAGACAGGAAGACTGCTTATAATTTACCAGTACAGTTCATTTAATGCTCCTCCAGTTTGACTTTCTGTTTCACACAACCAAAAGAAAACACCTCAGCCAAGACCCTCTGGATAATCAGGAGATATTTACAGTCCAAACCTTCTAAACCTTGGTAGAGCAAAGGTTGGGTTTAGCCCCAACACATCAGATGTCATCCTGTTGAGACCAAACACATAAGCGGGTCCAACAATAAACCAGTAGCAACATAATGAGTCTCTATGTTTATCTATCAAACACCAGCTGTTCAGCTGCCAAATATGACCCAACGTTCATCACAGGACTACTTTTTAAAAAGGACAAGGTCATTCAAGTTAAGATCAGATGAATAAATCACTGCTTCACCCAAATTATGGATTCAAACATTTCTACAAATGAAAGCAAAGAAATTGGGGAAAAAATAAACTTCAATAAACTCAAATAAAATTTTTAGCCACTAATGACCAACGTTTAAGGAATGAGGAAGGATCTGTGCTAACGCTCCATGGAGCACCAAAGGGGAACAGAAACCTTCAACTGATAATGCCGATTAGGTCAATAAATGTAGATATTCTTCAGCTTTCATACGGAATTGATGTCAACCAACATATTTATTTTGATTCTACTGCTTTGATTTAATAACAGAAAGGGTAATAGTTATCGTTTAAAACATACCATCTGTGAGACATAACGTCTGAGTGAAAAAGAAATGCTTAAGATGGTCAATAAAGAGATGAGTTACATCATTTTGGTTTGACCTGAAATCCAAACTCAGCTTGATCAGGGTCTAACCAACCGAACTTCTAAAAGGAGATTTCTGCAAATGTTAAACTAATTCAACAGCTTTAATGCTGCATCAGTGTAAAGCTAATATGATGAGGCTGAACTTCTGATCATGTTAAATGACACATTCTGAGAAAATTAATCTACTCTTCTGAATACTCCAAACTGAACTTTTCAAAGGCGCCTGATGCATCAACTGCAGAAGACAGACAAACAGTGAAAACACGCTCATCTAGGGACACATCATTTTGTCCATTAAATAAAGACTTTCTGCTTTCACACACCTTTATCGTTTATTAACCTCTCTAGAGAGAAACCTGATCATCCCTGCAGGTTTCGGCTTCTAACACCTCCAAATGTCTGTTTTCCACCCTGCTGACATTTTTAGCTGTTTTCCAGGTAATGATAAGCATCTGCTGATGGGTCAGCCTTACAGCAGCCTAACCTTCGCATAGGTTCAAAGAGAGCTTATAGCACAGGTTGTTCACACTAAGTTGGATAACATCTGATTTCCACTAAAACTTTGCTGAATAAGGTTCTGTAACCATAGTAATAGTATGCAGCCTGCATAGTTATGGAGGTGAAAGAGGAAGCTGTTCATAGTTTCACAAAACAACATGAACATATACAGGTGCTGGTCATAAAATTAGAATATCATGAAAAAGTAGATTGATTTCAGTAATTCCATTTAAAAAGTGAAACTTGTATATTATATTCATACATTACATACAAACTCATATATTTCAGATGTTTATTTTGTTTAATTTTGATGATTACAAATGACAACAAATGAAAATCTCAAATTCATCATATCAGAAAATTAGAATATTACTGAAGACCAATAAAAACAAAGGATTTATAGAAATGTTGGCCAACTGAAAAGTATGAACATGAAAAGTATGAGCATGTACAGCACTCAGTATTTAGTTGGGCCTCCTTTGGCCTGTATTACTGCAGCAATGCGGCGTGGCATGGAGTCGATCAGTCTGTGGCACTGCTCAGGTGTTATGATAGCCCAGGTTGCTCTAATAGTGGCTTTTAGCTCTTCTGAATTGTTGGGTCTGGTGTATTGCATCTTCTTCTTCACAATACCCCATAGATTTTCTATGGGGTTAAGGTCAGGAGAGTTTGCTGGCCAATTAAGAACAGGGATACCATGGTCCTTCAACCAGGTACTGGTAGCTTTGGCACTGTGTGCAGGTGCCAAGTCCTGTTGGAAAATGAAATCTGCATCTCCAAAAAGTTGGTCAGCTGCAGGAAGCATGAAGTGCTCTAAAACTTCCTGGTATGTGGCTGTGTTGACCCTGGACATCAGAAAACACAATGGACCAACACCAGCAGATGACATGGCACCCCAAACCATCACTGACTGTGGAAACTTTACACTGGACTTCAAGCAACGTGGATGAAGTGCCTCTCTTCTTTTCCTCCAGACTCTGGGACCTTGATTTCCAAAGGAAATGCAAAATTTACTTTCATCAGAGAACATGACTTTGGACCACTCACCAGCAGTCCAGTCCTGTTTCTCTTTAGCCCAGGCAAGACGCTTCTGACGCTGTCTGTGGTTCAAGAGTGGCTTGACACAAGGAATGCGACAGCAGAAACCCATGTCTTTCATACGTCTGTGTGTGGTGGTTCTTGAAGCACTCACTCCAGCTGCAGTCCACTCTTTGTGAATCTCCCCCACATTTTTGAATGGGTTTTGTTTCACAATCCTCTCCAGGGTGCGGTTATCTCTCTTGCTTGTACACTTTTTTCGACCACATCTTTTCCTTCCCTTCGCCTCTCTATTAATGTGCTTGGACACTGAGCTCTGTGAACAGCCAGCCTCTTTAGCGATGACCTTTTGTGTCTTGCCCTCCTTGTGCAAGGTGTCGATGGTCGTCTTTTGGACAACTGTCAAGTCAGCAGTCTTCCCCATGATTGTGTAGCCTATAGAACTAGACTGAAAGACCATTTAAAGGCTTTTGCAGGTGGTTTGAGTTAATTAGCTGATTAGAGTGTGGCACCAGGGGCCATCAATGTTGAACCTTTTCACAATATTCTAATTTTCTGATATGATGAATTTGAGATTTTCATTTGTTGTCATTTGTAATCATCAAAATTAAACAAAATAAACATCTGAAATATATGAGTTTGTATGTAATGTATGAATATAATATACAAGTTTCACTTTTTAAATGGAATTACTGAAATCAATCTACTTTTTCATGATATTCTAATTTTATGACCAGCACCTGTATGGCCTCCAGGATTACAGGACTTCCTCCGTTCCTAGATCCTTTGCATATCTCCCTCATTCTGCTACAAATGCAGGGTTCACTAGTTCATTACAGAGAGAAACAAACAACCAGCCAGCCAACCAAGCAGACAAGCAGCCAGCCAACCAAACACCCCGCCAACCAGCCAAAAAACAACCAACCAGCTAACCAAACAACTAGCCAACAAATAGACAACCAACAAGCCCAGCAAAAAGCAAGCCAACCAATCAGCCAGCCAGCCAGCCAGTAAACCAAATAACCAGGCAACCAACCAGCAAACCCATAAACTAACCTAGCAGATGTACTTCTGGACTGCTGGATTTGCAGAGACAAGCAAACATGCAGAGGAACCCAGGACCTCTTAGCAGCAAGGCTCTTTGTTGTTTAACTGGCATATAGCATGGTCCCACAACATAAACATTTTGACAAATTTTTATTTAATTTACTAAACTCACTTATGTTCAGGTATAGGAACTATTATTACTGGCCTTGATTTATTTCTGTGCTAACCAACCATTGTTAAAAAGATGATATGCCAGATTTTATTTGCGTTGGCCAACACCTGCATATACAGTATGTGGCTTATGGTAACTAAAACCTAACCTAACTCGTATTCACCTGTGGAATGGGCTAATCTGAAATGGTGGGCTTACCTGTTGCTATGGTGACGTCTGTGTTAATTGATGACAGTCATTAACTTGCTAAACTGTGTGTGTTTACACCACCATAAGCCACGCCAATTAAAGTTAGCATTCTCACCAACCATGGTACAATGAGCATAAGCCTCTGAGCGCCACCTGGTGGGGCAGTGGGATACTCCGACCACCAGTACAATAATAACAATAATGTGACCTATAAATATGTATCCAGAAATCTTTTAAATCATAAGTTGCTCTTATGCAGCCTAGAAACATCTGAAAACTAACTGAGAGACTTAAAGAGTGAAAACAGTGAAGCAGAGCTGCATCACATGCAAAACAGCAGATCTGCTCGGGTCCTGTGCATGTCAGTGACATATCACTATATGATTGGCTAAAGGTTGCCATGTGAGGTAAGCGTTTACGTTGCCCGCACAAGGATAATAACATAATGTAGCATGTCTGTGCAGAGTTGAAAGCATCTGTAATGTTAGTGTGGCTAATGACTGAAAAAGTTTTACCTGGTTGGTAATAAAACTGAAAAAAATATGTTTTTGGTTAACTAAATGTAAGATCATTACTTAAAGGGGAGAGCTGGGAAAGGCTGTGGCTAGCTGTGCTTAGTAGCTAACAGGTTAGCCCCTTTGAGCTTGGTCAGTTAGCCAAATTAAACTACACGGCTTTTAACTTCAAGTAATAACTGTTGTTTTCTTTGTCTAAAATGTTCAAAGTAATTTGTTAAGATGTCACATTTGTGCTCTGCTGTCCTCAGCTCCAATAAAAGCTAGAATTGAAAGGGGAGTGTACGATTCAATCATTCAAGATTAGAAACAGATCAGTACCAGATGTTGGTCAATAAGCATAGCAAACTTATTCTCATCCCTGAGAAGAAGTTCATTTACCTTTGGTCCAGGAAGCTGGCGTTCCAACACGCTGTCGAGGAGAGCTGAATCACAATGTCACTGCAGGACAGAGCAAACATTGCTGGTTAAAAAAAAACTGAACATTCAGTGAGATCAGCAAGAAATATTTGATTTGGGTTAGGGCTGAAAAATTAATCGGATTAATCGTGATTAATCAACAATGAAATAAACGTCAACAAATTTAGTAATCCATTAATCGTTAAACGGTGTACAGAGACTTTATAACACGCCTTTAACTGACAGAGCGACCCACTTAGAGCAGTAATTATATTAAAATTGTAAAAAAAAAAAAAAAAAAGTAAAATTTTGCATTTGAAATAAAAACTTTTTCGTCTGTCAGCACGTTCAATCCAGAACACCTAAAGTGGAAACATCTCATTGTCACCTTGTTTAATTTGGGAAAAAATATTCTTTAAGGAACCTTTGGTTATCCGATTATTAATCGAAAAAATTATCAACAGATTAATCGATTTGCAAAATAATCATTAGTTGCAGCCTTAATTTGGATCCAGAGTAAGTCATTCTAAGAAAACAGAAAAACTTATTTTTAAATGATTTGGTCCTTTGGTGTATGCCTCTACTAGCTTAGCATACAGCTAAAGCTCAGACTAAATCCCAGTCCAATCTTCACCTCAGAGCCCCAGTCAAGACTTCTTAACGCCTAAAGACTGCAACCTGGAGACGATCCCTGACTCAACAATCCTGAATGAAATTCCCAGGTTGCTTCCCCAGCATGGTGCAAAGAGACATCAGCTGATATTTCCTGACCCCAGACCAGCGCAGGTTCTGTCTTAGGGAAGATACGCCCTAATGAGCCTCTCTGGAACGGGTTTGTTTCCAACTGTTTTTCTCAAAGTTCCTGTCCAACTTCCCCTTGAGAGCGAGCAGCAGCCCTATCCCTGCAGAAGGCACCCCGCAGTATGATGCTGTTACCGCCGTGTTTCACAGAGGGGATGGTGAGTTTCATACGTTGCACAGTTAGATTTGTGTCATCAGACCAAGATTCAAGAGGGACTACAAATGTTTTCAAACAAAGAAGGGTTAACTCTGAACTTATAGAATAGCAGCTGAAAATACCTTAGGAAAAAAATATCCCCCTGGCAAAAAGGTGAAGCTCCAACTAGGAAGACAACATGTCCTGGGCCAAAGAAAAGAGCCTGAACAACCAGTTTACAAGTCTTCCTGAATAGCTGTTTTTAATCTCCTATAAAGTAATGAGGTCTGACTTACTTTGCCACACTAGAGTCTGTGTTGTACATCAGTTTTAATCTCCACGAATTTAACTGTTCATAGTTGATGGGGGAGAGGCTTTTACTAACATTAACCACTCTGAAGTCCTCTGAGACAGCAGAACTCTGTGGAAATACAACAAGAAGAAACACTTTAAATCAAAAAGTCATTTCCTTTAAGCATCCAAAGCATGAAACTATCCCTGCTGATTCTCTTTGTGAAGACGAACCATGCAGGTATGAAAAGTTGGTGATCAATTTCTCAAATGAAAAGCTTCAGCTTAAACATTACTGCCTCCTGGTGGCAAAACACTGAATTCGTCACTGTTTGGTGGGAAGGTCGCTATTACTCTGTGGATGGAAGGTCTTTGACATTTCACAGCAAATTAGATCCATTACAGAAGGCGTGACTAAATATTAACCAGATCCCACCTTCACTGTTTTCAAATTTCTTGTTATTAAAAAGTTATTATTTTGTTAATTCTTCTTTCTAGATGGTTAAATATTGATTTTAGTTGCATTTTTTTTTGTATGTTTTGCAGTTTGGATACTCTTTTTTGGTAAATAGATTCTTCTGGTCAATTAGTGGCTGTTGGACCGCCTATAAATACGCTGGGTTCTTATCTGGGAGCGTCTCCACCCTTATGCTCGCTCATTCAAATCCACAACGCTGCAGCCGTCACCTCTGACCTGCCATGCAGTATTTTTGTCAGCCTTTGTTTGGATGCTGTTTTCGTTGTGATTTCGGCCTGGTGGGACCGGTTGTCCTGTTTTCGATTTTTTATTTCTCTTTAGTAGTTTATATTAGCTATAGTCCGGTACCAGTAGGGGATTCGACGGCCCTGTATAGGGTTGGCCACCTGCTGTACTGTTTTGTTATTTTTGATCGGCTCACCAGGTCCAATTTTCTGTTAATACTTTGGGGGGGGAGACAAAAAAAAATGAAAAGATTTTATCTATAAACCGATCAAAGTTCTGTCTAACAGGGCTGGAATTGAATGAAATCATCATAAAACAGAAGCATGACCATGTTGGAACAGCAAATAAAAGAAGAAAAAAAAACATTGGACTTTAACATTTTACTAAAGAAAACTTTGAAGACAATATTTCACAAGACATCCATTGGAAGAAAGAAGAACTTAAAATACATACCTGCTCATTGGAATATAACAAGAAACTATGATCTCCTCCACAGATGATTTTTAGAACAATGCAGTTCTTTGAGTCCCCTAAAGACAAAGAAAAAAATAATTAAAACATGTAAAAAAAAATTCTCTACTATAAATATATTGCATGTAGCTAAAAAGCCTAAATCTGTTTTCTTTCAATCACATTGGACTCTATTGAGACTGAAAGAAAGAAACAAGGTAATACTGTGTTAATAATAAAAGACAATTTTTTTAAATTAAATTCAGTTCATTTCTATTTCACTGATTCATTACACATAATCTCAAGACTCTTTACAGAGACAAACTAGATCATACAGTCTTATTGGTTCAAAGTTTCTGTCAAGGAAAACCAGTTAATTGCATCCAGTCATTGGCTTGCAAGACATGCTGCTCCTGGGTGACCCTGCGACAACAAATTTTATTTGCAATTAGTTGCCGAGCCTTCAGCAAACCTTTAAACCAAGCATGCATGTAGCAACAGTGGAGAGGAAAACTCCCCTTGAGCAGAATGAAACCTCCATGAGAACCAGAACTAGGCTCACTGTGAGCGGCCTTCTGCCAAGGACAGAATGGGGTACAAGGAGACAGAAGCAGACATATAGAAAAAAAAGAGGATGAAAGAGAGCAAATACAGTTAGTCACAGTAAAGCTTAGTTTATGCTTAACGTGTTCAAGAGATCCACAAAGCCAAATTACGTCATTTTGGGCTTAAACGCTCGGAGCACCTAGGAAAAATCTGTAACTATGCGGACGGATCGATGCGGAAAACATGGCACAGCTCTTCTCAAATTTAAATATTTAGAAACGTCTTGTGATTTAGCCCATAAATATCACCACAATCAACACATTATGGTAAAAACTTCAGGAAAGACATGGCTGTTGCTCTCGTACAGCATAAAGAGGCTTTGATAAAGTCGTAAACAGCTGAGTTTCCTTCCTCCTGTAGTGTGATGTTGTCAGCTTTTTCTTTCTGCTGAACAAACATCCTGATCAAAAATAAAACCAAGATTTTTTTATTTATTATCCGAGATCAACTTAATCCCAACCAAATGAAGCACCTGACTAAACAGCTTCTTTCTCAGAGACGCTGGTACAAAGATAATAACTTTCAGAAGCAGAAAGTCAAGAAAGTAATGTATGTAATGGGTTAAGTTTCATCTGGATTTATAGACAAATATAGCTGAGTCTCATGCTGACAGTTCAAACCAAGTGGGAGCATATATAGATATATTATATATATATTGAATTTATGAATTAAAAAAAACAGTTTTCCTGTAAATCCACATAGTACAGCTATTTTACAGGTTGAGATGGAAAAAATATCAATCTCAGCTGCATGTCTGCTCATTTTCATATTAGGTCAAGAACATGGAAAAAAATGTTTTTCTTGTACTCGTAGTCTTCCTCTTATCCAAACGTCCCTTTCAACAGACACTTCCTCTAGCTCTGCTGGGGGAAGCCTGAGGGGCTCCAAGGCCATCTGAGAGAAATAAGCTTGATTTATGCTTGACAAGTGTATGTTCTGCACAGAGAATGAGACCTTCAGACACATCTTGTGCAGCTTTTATACTTTGTGCAGCTAATAATGTGCCCGGGCCTCAGGAGAGAGTGTTCAGCACAAACCAGGAGGTTATGATTGTAAACTACATGAGGAAGTAGAAAACACAGCCATCATTAAAGCCTCTTTATTTCATCCGAGAAATTGTCACGGACCACAGTGATACTTGTGCGCTAAAACACATGATGTTTCTGGAAGTTTATATTTGCCAGTCGTCCCTGGTAGAAGCCGTCGCTTGTTCTCCATCTTTTTCCTCAAGGAGCTGTCCATGAAGCAGGGTGAAGAAAATATAATGACATAACCACACGGACGTGTCAAGCAAGTATCTGGCTTTAGTCCCCCCATGGTGTCTTGGGACCTGGGACACCTCAGAGGGAGGCGTCCAGAGGGTATCAGGTACAGAAGTCTGATCCTCCTCAGCTGACTCCATTGGATATGGAGCAGAAGCGGCTGCACTCTGAGCCTCTCGCTGATGACTGAGTTGAGCGTCCAGTTTTCTTGCAGAGGAAGCTCATTTCAGATGCTTGGATAAGTTCTATTGGTAAGCAATGCACTCTTTGGGGCTTCTTATTTCCTCTCATAGTGGATGGTGTTTTCTGCGTTAGAATTTTATCATATGCTCCCACTTACCCTGAACTCAAAGAGTCCAGTTAGCTGATCGATATCACCTTTTCTGAAATCGAAAATCCTAAATATAACTGAGCGGGTAATCTGAATCAGGAGACCAGCAACAGGACAGAAACAGAAGAGAAGACCAAGTCTGGCAGACCAGATTGAAGGCATTAGCCACGTCAACACCAGCGAAAGTGAAAACAAACAGGTGTGAACCGTGGTAAAAACAGCTGCTGTCATATTAGATATTTTCCAGTCGCACCATTGAGCCCTGGCAGCTGAACTGTACCTCCAGTTAGCTTATTTCCATAGCAACCATCAATGAGCAATTAACAGCAGAGAACCAGGTACATTTGGTCCTCACCTCTTCTCTGCAGGTTTCCAGTAAGAAAAGCTGACTTGACAGGAAGTGGGCTTCTTGAGTCCCCCAGGGTTCCCGTCCCCAGTTGTCCATGGCTGTTGCAACCGAATGCATACACCACGCTGGACGATGGGACTAAGGCCAGAGTGTGGTGCCTGATAGAATAAAATAAATTACTTTCATTATTTAGAAAGATAATACGACCAGAGGGAACAGTGGAAAGTTAACTGTCTGATGCATCAAACTGTTCTAAATCTGGGCCCCGATAAAGATGGTTGTCCAAGTAATGCGTCTCACCTCAATGGTCTGCACTGTTTACAGCACTCCTAAGCACTCCTGCTGTGTCCGACTAATCATCTGTAAGACAAGCTACACGTGGACTAAATAGCCGGCTCCCCCCGTTAAACGAAAAACTAGAAAACCTCACAATGTTCACAGAAATAACTTGAATTTGACTATAGTAACAATAAATAAAAGATCTACAAAAATAAACAAATGACGTTCAGACCCTCAACAACTCTTTCACAGAAGGATTAAAAAAAAAAATAAAACGCCTCAATACCATGTGACCTCACATAACTGGCTTCACTCAGTCGTTAACCACCAAGTTAGTCGGCAGAATTGCTGCAGAAACAGCTGAATAAGATGGAATACAAAGAAGCATTTTGTTTTGTGAAGATGCAGTGGATATTTCATGTTGGTCCAACCATGGAGACAGGTTGGCAAAGTGCAACTTTGACCATATCTAAAAAAAAAAAAAAATCAGAAAGCAGTAAAGGAGGAGTGGAGTGCTGAATGTCAGTAAGCATGAGAGGGAAACATGAACCACAAGGATCAGCCTTTGAAAGTAGCAGGAAGTGCCACCTGCTAACTAAACCAACTAACTAACTGTTATTGTGATCGAGATTCCACTTCCTCCATCTGACTGTGCACGATTCCCCATTTATAGTCCATGTGCCATCACTAGATGAGTTTGCCTTCAAGTTTTACAAAAATAAAAGAGTCAAGCTGTGCGACTTTCAGCATTTTTCTCCCTCCTGTCATTGAGGCAGAGAGAGCTGCTGAGAATCCTCACGATTGGCTGCTCTGAGCAGCGTGTTGCTGCCAGCTATCACCTGGGGATCCTCATCAGCTCAAGGTCACATTTCAAACAGTTCAGCAGGAAGACTCCTTCCTGGTGAGAACTTTACCACCAAGCAGTACAATGTGACAGAGAAAAGATTCAATAAAATGCTTAACTGCCATATTGGATGTAGTTTGGCCGTGACATTTTTACATTCCTGCCTTTTAGGGGTTGATTCCAACAGACGCCATTTGGAGGATGTACCGTTCCCTGGCACACTTGCCAATAATATCAACATACTTTCTCTTTGGGGGAAACAGATGATGACGGTTGTCTAACATTTCCCTTCGCAACCAAAATGGCGCATGGAACAGTTTGGCTCCAAAGTGCTCTGTGTGTAATTTTTAAGGATGTGTGGGGGCTGTGCCTTAACACATTTTCGTGCCAGACAGAATGCGTTTTTTTGGCTTCGACACCTCTTGGCGCAGCATCCATGCAGAATTACCAAACCATGTACCGAGAAAATAACTACGCATACAGCTAAAAACTAATGTTCAACGATTTAAGTTCATCTAAGCCTCAGTTTACAGTTTGCTTGTTGTGGCTGGAAACTATGAGGTGCCCCCAGGGACATAAATCAGAATTAACTTGCATATACACATATTAAATTACACTCTTCCATATAATATACTGAAAACCTCACACAAACACTAGTAAAAAGCTCTCACATAAACTAGTGAAAACATTTACCTCTTATATAATCTACTCAAAAGCTCTCATACAAAGTAGTGAGAACTGTTCATATAAACTGGTGAAAAGCTTTACCTTTCATACACACTACTAGAAAGCTTTCATATACACTATTAAAAAGCTCTCATATACACTACTAGAACGCTCTCATATACACTATTAGAAAGCTCTCATATACACTATTAGAACGCTCTCATATACACTATTAGAACGCTCTCATATACACTATTAGAAAGCTCTCATAAACACTATTAGAACGCTCTCATATACACTATTAGAATGCTCTCATATACACTATTAGAACGCTCTCATAAACACTATTAGAACGCTCTCATATACACTATTAGAACGCTCTCATAAACACTATTAGAAAGCTCTCATATACACTATTAGAAAGCTCTCATAAACACTATTAGAACGCTCTCATATACACTATTAGAAAGCTCTCATATACACTATTAGAACGCTCTCATATACACTATTAGAACGCTCTCATAAACACTATTAGAACGCTCTCATATACACTATTAGAATGCTCTCATATACACTATTAGAACGCTCTCATAAACACTATTAGAACGCTCTCATATACACTATTAGAACGCTCTCATAAACACAATTAGAACGCTCTCATATACACTATTAGAACGCTCTCATATACACTATTAGAACGCTCTCATATACACTATTAGAACGCTCTCATATACACTATTAGAAAGCTCTCATAAACACTATTAGAACGCTCTCATATACACTATTAGAATGCTCTCATATACACTATTAGAACGCTCTCATAAACACTATTAGAACGCTCTCATATACACTATTAGAACGCTCTCATATACACTATTAGAAAGCTCTCATATACACTATTAGAAAGCTCTCATAAACACTATTAGAACGCTCTCATATACACTATTAGAAAGCTCTCATATACACTATTAGAACGCTCTCATATACACTATTAGAACGCTCTCATAAACACTATTAGAACGCTCTCATATACACTATTAGAATGCTCTCATATACACTATTAGAACGCTCTCATAAACACTATTAGAACGCTCTCATATACACTATTAGAACGCTCTCATAAACACAATTAGAACGCTCTCATATACACTATTAGAACGCTCTCATATACACTATTAGAACGCTCTCATATACACTACTAGAACGCTCTCATAAACACTATTAGAACGCTCTCATATACACTATTAGAATGCTCTCATATACACTATTAGAACGCTCTCATATACACTATTAGAAAGCTCTCATATACACTATTAGAAAGCTCTCATATACACTATTAGAAAGCTCTCATAAACACTATTAGAACGCTCTCATATACACTATTAGAAAGCTCTCATATACACTATTAGAACGCTCTCATATACACTATTAGAACGCTCTCATAAACACTATTAGAACGCTCTCATATACACTATTAGAACGCTCTCATAAACACTATTAGAACGCTCTCATATACACTATTAGAACGCTCTCCTAAACACTATTAGAACGCTCTCATAAACACTATTAGAACGCTCTCATATACACTATTAGAAAGCTCTCATACACACTATTAGAACGCTCTCATATACACTATTAGAACGCTCTCATAAACACTATTAGAACGCTCTCATAAACACTATTAGAACGCTCTCATATACACTATTAGAACGCTCTCATATACACTATTAGAACACTCTCATATACACTATTAGAAAGCTCTCATAAACACTATTAGAACGCTCTCATATACACTATTAGAACGCTCTCATATACACTATTAGAAAGCTCTCATAAACACTATTAGAAAGCTCTCATATACACTATTAGAAAGCTCTCATATACACTACTAGAACGCTCTCATAAACACTATTAGAACGCTCTCATAAACACTATTAGAACGCTCTCATAAACACTATTAGAACGCTCTCATAAACACTATTAGAACGCTCTCATAAACACTATTAGAAAGCTCTCATACACACTATTAGAACGCTCTCATATACACTATTAGAACGCTCTCATAAACACTATTAGAACGCTCTCATACGCTATTAGAACGCTCTCATAAACACTATTAGAACGCTCTCATATACACCATTAGAAAGCTCTCATATACACTATTAGAACGCTCTCATATACACTATTAGAACGCTCTCATATACACTATTAGAACGCTCTCATATACACTATTAGAACGCTCTCATAAACACTATTAGAACGCTCTCATATACACTATTAGAAAGCTCTCATACACACTACTGAAAAGCTATTAGCGGATTTCAGTTGAAACGGAAGGTGTTTCAGTGAAACAGGAAGGACCGTCATTACACCGGAAGTTGTTTTAAACGGAGGTCATTCTGGCTAGCTCCGTACATTTTGTGCTATCTCCGGCCGAAATTGTATCAAATAAAATTTGTGATTCATGCTCAGCTATCCGCTAAACAACTCACAGAAGCATGGGCATTACTCAACTTTATTTTTTATGTTTTTGCTTCAACAGAGATCCTTTTCCGGTGTTGTGCGAAATTCTGTTCCCATGTGAAAATCTGTTCCACCTGTGTCGGGAGCGCGCCGCGCATTGCAGCCACATAAGCGGATCTGATCATTTCCCAGGCCTTTCGAATCATTTCTTGGTTAAATAAAAAGTCGTAAAATTATACAAGGTTGAGACATTTAGTTTAATCAGCCGCTGTTGTTTACAAAATTGTAAAATAAAAAAAATAAATGCGGGTTTCTTATGCTGTTTTGTGTTGTTATTTTAAACGCCAAGAGAATCAGTCTCTTTCCAAGTTTTTTCACTTCAGCCTGACAGAAATAAAAGTCAAGTCACCAAATACCAAATTTGTATTTATAATTTTTTATTACTGATATAAGATGATGGGAAGTGCCTGATAGCAGTTCCATAATATAGAAACAAATTAATTTAGCTGCAAATCTTAAACTGTGTTTATTCCTCTCTTCATCAACAACAAACCATCTGGATTCTGTGATATTTGAGCAATGTTTGCCTAAATTAAAGGAGGGGGACCATATATTTTAGCTTTCTAATAGTGTGTATGAAAGCTTTCCAGTAGTGTGTTTGAGAGCTTTCTAGTAGCGTGTATGAGAGCGTTCTAATAGTGTATATGAGAGCTTTCTAATAGTGTATATGAGAGCGTTCTAATAGTGTATATGAGAGCTTTCTAGTAGTGTATATGAGAGCTTTCTAATAGTGTATATGAGAGCGTTCTAATAGTGTATATGAGAGCTTTCTAGTAGTGTATATGAGAGCATTCTAATAGTGTATATGAGAGCGTTCTAATAGTGTATATGAGAGCTTTCTAGTAGTGTATATGAGAGCTTTCTAATAGTGTATATGAGAGCTTTCTAATAGTGTATATGAGAGCGTTCTAATAGTGTATATGAGAGCGTTCTAATAGTGTATATGAGAGCATTCTAGTAGTGTATATGAGAGCTTTCTAGTAGTGTTTATGAGAGCTTTCTAATAGTGTTTATGAGAGCGTTCTAATAGTGTTTATGAGAGCGTTCTAGTAGTGTATATGAGAGCGTTCTAATAGTGTATATGAGAGCGTTCTAATAGTGTTTATGAGAGCGTTCTAATAGTGTATATGAGAGCGTTCTAATAGTGTATATGAGAGCTTTCTAATAGTGTATATGAGAGCGTTCTAATAGTGTATATGAGAGCTTTCTAATAGTGTATATGAGAGCGTTCTAATAGTGTATATGAGAGCTTTCTAGTAGTGTATATGAGAGCTTTCTAATAGTGTATATGAGAGCGTTCTAATAGTGTATATGAGAGCTTTCTAGTAGTGTATATGAGAGCATTCTAATAGTGTATATGAGAGCGTTCTAATAGTGTATATGAGAGCTTTCTAGTAGTGTATATGAGAGCTTTCTAATAGTGTATATGAGAGCGTTCTAATAGTGTATATGAGAGCGTTCTAATAGTGTTTATGAGAGCGTTCTAATAGTGTATATGAGAGCGTTCTAATAGTGTATATGAGAGCGTTCTAATAGTGTATATGAGAGCGTTCTAATAGTGTATATGAGAGCTTTCTAATAGTGTATATGAGAGCGTTCTAATAGTGTATATGAGAGCATTCTAATAGTGTATATGAGAGCGTTCTAATAGTGTATATGAGAGCGTTCTAATAGTGTATATGAGAGCTTTCTAATAGTGTATATGAGAGTGTTCTAATAGTGTATATGAGAGCTTTCTAATAGTGTATATGAGAGCGTTCTAATAGTGTATATGAGAGCGTTCTAATAGTGTATATGAGAGCATTCTAGTAGTGTATATGAGAGCTTTCTAGTAGTGTTTATGAGAGCTTTCTAATAGTGTATATGAGAGCGTTCTAATAGTGTTTATGAGAGCGTTCTAGTAGTGTATATGAGAGCGTTCTAATAGTGTATATGAGAGCGTTCTAATAGTGTTTATGAGAGCGTTCTAATAGTGTTTATGAGAGCGTTCTAATAGTGTTTATGAGAGCGTTCTAATAGTGATTATGAGAGTGTTCTAGTGTATATGAGAGCTTTCTAATAGTGTATATGAGAGCGTTCTAATAGTGTATATGAGAGCGTTCTAATAGTGTATATGAGAGCTTTCTAATAGTGTATATGAGAGCTTTCTAATAGTGTATATGAGAGCGTTCTAATAGTGTATATGAGAGCGTTCTAATAGTGTATATGAGAGCGTTCTGATAGTGTATATGAGAGCTTTCTAATAGTGTATATGAGAGCTTTCTAATAGTGTATATGAGAGCTTTTTAATAGTGTATATGAAAGCTTACTAGTAGTGTGTATGAAAGGTAAAGCTTTTCACCAGTTTATATGAACAGTTCTCACTACTTTGTATGAGAGCTTTTGAGTAGATTATATAAGAGGTAAATGTTTTCACTAGTTTATGTGAGAGCTTTTTACTAGTGTTTGTGTGAGGTTTTCAGTATATTATATGGAAGAGTGTAATTTAATATGTGTATATGCAAGTTAATTCTGATTTATGTCCCTGGGGGCACCTCATAGGAAACAGCTTTTCACTAATAACTGTTGAAAACCTGATGCCATTTTAAAGCTGAGAGCACCTTCCACAGGCGATCTGGGAAACCTCAGTGCCCATTAACTCCAGCACTCGTCTTGGTAGGAGCTCGTTATTGCTGGCGCCGTGACCCAGCTGCCCCCGTGAGCCGTCCCCAAACGTAAACAGGCCTCCGTCCTACGACAGAAAAAAAAAGAACACAGTCAGGAGGGAGGGAGGGACGGACGGACGGACGGACGGACGGACGGACGGAAGGACGGAAGGAAGGAAGGAAGGAAGGAAGGAAGGAAGGAAGGAAGGAAGGAAGGAAGGAAGGAAGGAAGGAAGGAAGGAAGGAAGGAAGGAAGGAAGGAAGGAAGGAAGGAAGGAAGGAAGGAAGGAAGGAAGGAAGGAAGGAAGGAAGGAAGGAAGGAGTACCTTTGTGAGGGCTGCGGTGTGCTCATCTCCACAGCTGATATAAACAACTTTCTGGGACCTGAGGAATTTGATGTGACACGGTACGGCTCGATCTGCAGAGGGAAACAAAGAAGCTGATGTAGGATGAGGAGGACGCAGTGATGATGACCGAGTCTGTGGTTTCCTGACCAGAACCCTTCTTCCTCTACATCCACCATTTGGCTTAAAGGACAGGACTATCAGTTACCTGGAAATGATTGCTCTTTACCTTGTCTGTCATTAAGACCAAGCTGTCCCGCTCTGTTTTTGCCCCATCCAAAGACGGCTCCAGACAGGGAAAGGGCAAAACTGTGGTCACCCCCGGCGCTTATCTGGGCCAGAGGAATCCCTGCCAGAGACTTCAGAGGATGAGGCGTCAGCTTGCTGGGCTCTCCTTTACCCAGACCAAGCTGACCGTTAGTGTTCTGGCCCCAGGTGAACAGCTGACCATCTTAGGAAGCAAAACAAGAAGTTCATCAATGTACACATCCAAACGGCTAAAACATTAAAGTCAACCAACAGTATAAACTCTTCTTCTGTTGGACAGATAGATCTGTGTTTCACTATGAAATACCTTCAAATACATCAGTTAAAAGTCAAAAGGTTCTGCAACTGCAAAACAAGCCCAAAGAATCACCCCTGCTTAACTAGCTTCTAACACACAATCATTCAGGATGAAGATGGCCCTTAAGGTCACTTTACATTGCAAACATCATATTAAAGCAACGTTAAGATTAAACACAATCTTGATGAGTATACCCTATACTCCATTACTCATAAAATTTTTTTAAAGAAGTCTAAAATAGAGTTAAAATGGGGGAAATATCAACACCATGCTTTTCAAATCAGTGTGGGAGGTTTTGACTACACAGAGCAGGAAGAGGTAAAGATTCAAAGACAGGTTTGAGGTTTTTCTTCCCACCTCTGGAAAGTGCGATGCAGTGCTGATTCCCACACATTACTTGAGAAATGCTGTGGTCACAAAGCTGTTTGACCAACCTAAAACAAACAAGTAAGACAACAATTTATTTTCTTCAAAGTGAGAGCAAACAACTTAAAAAGATATCAGTGAAAACAATAAAAGCTACACTGGAAAAAAATCGAAATCTAGATAAGTCATTTTTTTCTTTAAATAAGTGCATTTGTTCTTGGATTGAGGAGTTAAAAGAGACATGTTGCCAATGGAACAAGACAATTTATATTTAAAATAAGAAAACATAATTGCATTGTCTTATTTCTAGATAGTTGTTTCCTGTGTAAAGTAAGCACATTAAAACATTTGACCACACAGACCTAGGGATGGGGATCGAAACCCGGTTCCATCAAGGACCCGGTTCCACTTTTTTCAAAACCCGAAAATCAATAACGTTTGGGCTTATCGATACCACTATCGAGTCTGGTCGTTTTTTTTTTTTTTCTCCCGGAGGTCCTGTAACATATTTGTGTGTCCCTCGAGTCGCGTCACAGCATTTAAATCTAATCAATCCAATCACTGCAGCATGTACACCAATGTTTTGGAATGAAATTGTAAGCAAACAGATATTAAAAGTAAAACAAGTGAAGTCTGGCACTTAACTTTGCTCGCGATTCGAGAATGGCTGAACGGAAAAGACTCCTCCTCCTCCTGCTGCTGCCGCCGCCCCACAGTCTGCCCGTCTTCATCATCCACTCAGAGTACCACTGGTAAGCGCACACAGACTTTGCAGCTTGTCCGGTCAGTTAAAAATATTAATTGTGAAATCCGTCTTGTAATAGGAAGCATACAAGCTAGTTAGCTTGAAAAGTAAATAAAGTTTCAGACGTGCTGCGTGATGATGTGTTCAGATTGGCTCAGTAAAACGACAATTAGGTTATCATGGTGCGTTCAAGTGTAACGTAAAGAAAACGGGAAATTTAGTTTTTGGCGAGAAACATGAGTAATACAGTTGTATATTGCTCTATATATAATTAAACTACTGATGCCAACATTTATTAAAAATTACATTTAATTTAAAATACAATTATTTATTTGTTAAATATTTTCCTAATCACTAAAACATGATGAAAAGTGACAGTAGACAATACATTAACCAACAATTGTGAAAATATATTCTAGTTAGTTTTATGTCATTTCGAAGTGGCCTATTACATTAGCCATGTTTAATGAAGGCTAGAAATGTTTTTGTTATGCTCACTTGTTAAGCAATAGAAGCAATACCAGTTCTGTTAAAAAAAAATTTGTTGCATCGTCTTTCCACCAAATAACAGAAAAGTACCGATAGTGGTATCGATAAAGACTCGGATCGATAAGGAGTATCGATAAAGGTATCGATATCAATAAATATTAACGATCCCCATCCCTACACAGACCACAAAACCTTAAATCAAAACAACAGCAAGGGATAAATAAGGCATTAATACCTCTAGGTGCAAAATAAAGAGCTTTCCTGTGGTCTAGCTCAGGTTCTGCAAAGGGTAAGTATCACCTAAGCTTTCTTTAGGCCGAGATACACTTGTGCCTATGGTTGACGTGCTGTGCACGAGCCCATAGAAGCGGCGTAAATGTTTATATTTGACGGGGATGTAGGTGCAGTACTCGCAAAAATCACAGAGGGGCAGCGGATGCAACAAAAAAAAAAAGAGAGAGAAAACAGTTCCCGCTGCTCAAAACGCGCTAAGGGACATTTTGCTGCGCCTTGACGCGCGTCAACCATTGACTTTGCATGTACACTCGCTGCGTCTGCTGCGTCCGGTGTGAACGTAGCATCAGACCATGATAAAGATGCCAGGGCTTGATGGAACAATATCTCAACATTTCTCTGAGAGCAACCAGAACCAGCCGTTTGGAAACAGGACTATCATCACAAAGTGTTGCTCCCACCACTGATCGATTGGTTGTCCTAAAGAACTGAGAGCTGTAAAAAAGTCTGACGGTCAGTCAGAGCCACATACCATCATCCTCATTAATGGGGGATTATAACGGACCCACACGTCTACTTCTATTCACAAGTCTAATGAGTAAAAATATTTTCTGTTTAATCTCTCAGTTTTTATTACAGCTTGTCAATTAATTTTTAGCTCATTGATTAATTCCGTTGACCTCATTTATCCATTACTTACATCCCTGAACTGATGGAAAAGCATCAGGCTTTTCAAGGTTAAATATATGACTGTGTATAAGTACATCTCTGCTTCTTCTGCTGATCACTGCGATGGGGTCAAAGGTCAGGTTTTCTTTAAGCATTGATCCACTGAATCAATAGAAGCAGGAGTGTTGTTCTAACAGATGTCCACCTGACCAACAGAAAAACGGGAATACAAAAACGTTTGACTTCTTGCTGTAGTGATAGGTTCATTTGTTAACCATACAATTAGTCTGAAGGTTTAACCCGTAACCGAAGTACCACATGGTCACCTTGGGATTCGAACGACCGCCTCCCTGGTCCCCAGGCCCAGCTGGCCCCCTTCGCCGGCTCCCCAGGCGAACACCTGACCCTGCTCGTTTATGGCCATGGAATGGGTCCGACCACATGACACCATCGTTATCTTCTGGGTATCAAGAGCGCCAACCAGCTCTGTGAGGAGAACAGAGTCAAACAGACCAAGTTGCTTAGAGTAGAAACTATGACAGTTTTTGTCTAAATGAAACATTTTCACCATAAAACTGATCAACATCTGTAAACATATTGCTTCAATTCTGTTTATTTTTATAGCTCTAATTCACATCACCTCATCTCAGGTCTCTTTATAGATCCAGATCAATTAGATCATCCATTTAGATTAAGCCTGACATACACTGTACAATATTTTTCTATCAATGCAAGCAGCTACAGTTCAAACTGTACGACTAAAGGGCAGATTAGACCTCTGCATCCGCACACATCTAATGTTGCTTTGGTCTGGTCGCGAACCAATTTTGCTGGTATGCTTCTGCACAGTCAGTCTGAAATTTTGTGGGAGTTTCAAGCAGTTTCCTGCCAAAGCGCAAGGGGAAACCTATTCGACAACTCGCGAGAACTTAGGCAGTGCAGGCGGGAGTGTTTATTTTCCAAAACAACAATGGCGCGTCTGCAAGATATCACGGTCACAGAGATGGATCTAGAGTTGCCAGACATCGAAGAGGAACAGGTTCTATTAATGGAGCGAACCTCCTCCATTAACCTTTTGTCGTAGTTGTCCATTGCAGTTGTTCCTCTGTTTTTATAAACGGCGCGCCCCGGCACCAAATCGAGAAGGACGACCACACAGGCAACCGGAAAGGCATACCAAGGACCAATCACAGCTGCTTTTTGTCTGCGCACTTCTGCTTGAGGTCGGATTTGCGGCGCATAGTCAGGTTTTCTTTTTCAGAACCTCTGCGTGGGGGGCGCATAGAGACAGATTTGAAAGTTGCAGAGGCTATGCGTCAGAGGCATAAATTGGCCTTAACCTTTTCATAACATGAGGACCCAAATTTGGGTCCTTAGCACTCGCCCCAAGATGGTTTTTAGACCTGTAACATATTCTCTGGGGTCTTGCCTTTATTTTGATACCAAAACAATTAAAATAAATAAACTGTAGTTCTTGAGATATGTTCAATTCATTTTGGGCATTTTCAAGCATATTTCTCGAAAACAGGCCTAGTGTCCAAGAGGTTTTAACCCGCAGGGTTTAAAAGTTCACAGCTCATGACGCTGTGCAGCCCGACAATCTGATGCGATCTAACTGCTCACACTGCACGTCCAAAAACCAAACGTCAGACTCGGCGCCAAGAGATGGAATAAGAAAAAGAACTCCGTTGTTTGCACACGGGCAGTGCTCGAGGTTCTGGTAAATTGTCTCATAGCTCTGCTTCAACAGAAGGATTTGCCGACGAACCCCTCTTGACGGCCGACTGAATTTCAAACATGTTGGATTTTCTCCCGACCTTACCATTCCTGATCGGGAGGTGGTTGCAAGAGGCTGATCGCCCCTCGTTAGCTCCTGTATACTACACGACGAGGATCCACGATGAGGCTGAAACTCGGCCCGGTCCCAAAAGTTCCTGTATGACTGGAAAATCGGCCCGAAAATGGCAAAAAAAAATAAAAAATCATACAGTGTATGCCCGGCTTTAAAGGTTAAAAGTTTCTATCTAAAGAAAAGCAGCTGATTGCATCCAGTCATTGACTACAGGATTATCTGCTCCTGGATGAGCAGGTAGAGACAGAAGATATTAGCTTACATTGCTTCGTTGACTTAGCCTTGATTTAAGCAGGTTAGTCCCACTGAAATTTAAAATCTCTTTTGCAAGAAAGGCCTGGTCAGGAGGGTCATAGACGCAATCTTCAACAATCCCTTTCACTGAGCATGCATGTAGCGACAATGGAGAGGAAAAACTGCATTTTAACAAGAAGAAACCTCCACCAGAACCAGGCTCAGTGTGAGCGGCCATCTTCTAAGGCAGACTGGGGGTCAAGGAGACAGAAGCAGTGATAGAAAAGGGACACCGATCTATAAATATGTTATATGTTAGAAAAGCTAACAGTAAATCTGTATCCTTAAGGGTCTCTGTCTGGGAAAGAAACTGTTAATCATACGAGCTCTGAACCAGTTTTCATGTAAAAGGGATGAAAGAGAGCACATCCAGTTAGTCACAGTAAAGTGTGTGGTGGGAAAACTAAATTTCCTATTAAACCCCCTCACATATATCGATGTATGAAAGCTTATTTTGCATTTACATATTTTATAAAAGTGTTTATTCAAGCCTTTCTCCCCTGCTAGGCCATACATTGTCTGAGAGGAGTTGTCAATTTACTTTGTGGACTTTTTTGGGACAGAAAGTAATGGTTCCAGGCCAGACTCCGCTGTCATTTATAACATTTTACTGTTCTGCAACTGCCTGTCACTTGCTTGGACTGAACTGTTCTGTGGAGACTTGCATGTTGAAATGCAGGCTGTACTTGGGTTCATAAATTCAGAAGTTCATGTTTTCATTAAACACATTTTTAAAAGGCTCCAACTCATCGGTGTCGCCAGACCCCATTTACTGGGGCACGTGCCCAAGTATAAATGAGCTGTGCCCCAGTATAAATCTCATGAATATTTGCAACAGTGATACATTTTTTTTAATGCATCAATTTAGATAATTCCAACGGGAGGAGACGTATATTTCTACTCAAATGCGTAGCAAGTGTGTTGTTAACTCCAAATTGAGGATGAATTAGCGCCCCCACGTCGGCGCATATCACTGCATGAACTGCAGGTAAACTAACACGCTGCTCTCAACTGAGTTGGATGGGACACTGTGCGGCCACGACACATTTTTAGTTCTGGTAACGTTTCTTACCTGTCAATTTTATTATTTTCCCAGTGAAACCACATGATTTATAGGCTACTGACTGAAAATGACTGCATTGGTTTGTAGATGTATATCAGGAAATTCCTCACACGAAGCAGAGACAGGGAAGCAGTAAAACAAGATGAGAGAGAGGGAGGTAAGGTCCCGTAATGAATTAGTGATTTAATGTAACCAGTTACATTAGGGACGTTATAAGCAATATGATAGATATTTACATAATTATAAATTTACATTTTTTGATGTTTGCTGTAGAGAATGAGAATGAAGGTGCTGGAGTAGGAAAGGGAGGAGGAGGCGAGACTGACAGGCAAGAGACAGGAGAGACAGGATCATGAAGGTGATGAGGGAGCAACAACCAGCGTCCACAAACAAGTAGGGGACATTAGTGACTTAGGGGGAAAGCATGATGGTCCTAAACAAGTGAAGTTGTCCCACTATCCCCAGCACAAATTTGGAGTAAAAAAATGTTCATTTAATTCAAAATGGTTTAAAAGCTTTTTATGGTTGAAAAAGAAAGCCTTGTCATCAAGGATATGCAGTGTGTTTTCAACTTGCTTGATAACATCATGTTCCCCACACTAACGCAGGTCATCCAGATCTCCTCACAATCCCAGTCTACAGATGGAGTTGTGAAGGGTCATTCAGTGTGTTGAGAAGGCTCCACACTTGGCTGAGGTGCACAATGGGACAAGACAGGCTCCATCATCTTGCTATTTTATCAGTTGAAAAGGAAGAACTTTCTAAGCTGAGTCACAGTCTAGTGATTGACCGCTTTGCAAAAATGAAAAATAGGAGGAACACTTTAATGCTCAAAAAATAAAAGAAAAACTTAGTTGGGGTTGAGTTAAAATTTCCCCCGAACTAAAACTCTGAAACCTAGGAATTAATGATTACTTCAGAATGTGTATAAGGAAACTTTTTATTTGTCAAAGTTGTTGATGTCTTATTTTTTATAGCTGCAATGTTGAAATTGTTTATGTTTGTTAAAACAAATATGCTCTTATACTCATTAATATCTCAACTGGTAATTTTGGTAGGAATGTATCAGGGTTGGGCAGTGTGCTTGTCTGTATTTATGTATGGCAGGAGGGGCATATGCACTAGGGGGCCAGTGCCCCAGTAAAGCTTTGTGCCTAGCAACGCCCCTGCTAAAACTTCTGTATTTAGTGGTCATGTTAAGATGTTTTAAAAGCTGCAGCATTGCTACTTAAAGCTAGTTTAGTCCCTTGTATTAGTGGAGGAGGGAACTTTTCACTTGATTGTAATTCTAAACAAAATTATATTTCTAAGATGTTTTTGTGAATGTTTTTAAAAATGAATCAGATACAAAACGCCTCCCATTGGCCAATCTGTTATCACTTCTAGCTAATGTTAATGGACCTATAATATGCAAATTACTATTATAATTACTATGAAACCATAAGGCACAGACCTATCTTTTGGGTGTCAGTAAAATTCCTCCAGACTAGATGCTGAGGCTGTTAATAGTCAATGCTGCTACACTCTGATTTAGAGTGTAGCAGCATGTACTTGCTCCGCCAAGTATCCCTATATCACAACGTTAGAGAACCTTTTAAAAAATTCCTGTGTCCAGATTATGACCTGGATCATCGCCACAATGTAATCAAATGTTCCTTGGCATGAGGAATACCTCTGATTAAAATGTAAATAAATCCATCCATAACTTTTTAAGTTATCCTGTGCATAGACAGACAGAGACAAACTTTCCTAAAGACATAACCTCTTTGCTAGAGGTAAAAAAACAGAGCGATACAGGGATCCAACCTTAGATAACTGAAGAGGAATCTAATAGAGCCAATATCTGATTGTCTACTAATTGGAAATTGGAAACATTTTTAATTAGGGTTGAAACAAATAATTGGATTAATCAAGATTAATCAATTAATAAAATAATCTTCAATTAATTTAGTAATTGATTACTCGTTAACTGGAGCGAAGAGACTGTATAACATGCCTTTAGCTGACAGAGCGACACATTTAGAGCAGTAATTACATCCTAAACAACATCCTAAAGTGGAAAATGTTTAGATTCACACGGTTTCATTTCGCAAAAAAACTTCTTTAAGAAACCTTTGGCAATCCCATTGTTAATCAATCGAAAAACTAATCGACAGATGAATTGATTTGTTAAATAATCGTTGCAGTCCTATTTATTATTAATTTCCAAGCATTTTCTTTTATAACTTGCAGGACAACTGATAATAACAGCAGGTTTCTCCAATGACTTAGTTCTGAGTCAGATGATTGTTGTGGCCTTTCCAGCAGTTCCTGTCTTCAGTCCAACCACCCTGTTTCTTTTGTCTCATTTAGCTTATGAACTCACACCCGGCTTTGGTATTCATTTTTTGAATAGCAACACGAGTCGTTCTTTGCTGACAAACAGAAACATAAATGCATTCCTGCAGGATGATGAGCTTAGGAGGCAGCAGCTGCAGAACATAGACAGCTTACCTGGAGACGTCCCATCTCTGTTGTGGCCCAGCTGCCCACAGCTGTTGGAGCCACATGTGTACACGCTACCATCATGCAGCAGGAACAGCGTGTGCTGCCCTCCACATGCAACCTCCTTAAGTCCTCGCCCACTGAACACGCGGCAGTTCCTGGGCTCAAACGCAGGGTTCCTCTCTGCGCCAATGCCCAGCTGTCCATCCCTGGCGTTCCCCCAACACAGCATGTTGGTGAAGGGAAAGGAAATGAGCAACAGACTGAAGCGAGAGCGTGGTCCCGATGGAGGGAGAGGGTCCTGTTCAAGCTTTAGAGCAGCCCCGCTTTCTCCTCTTCATGTAAGCTCCAACCCTGGAAGAAACCAAAGCAGGAGATTTTCATCAGCTTCGCAGCATGTAATTTCTAACTCAGTATTCGTTTTAGAAATTAGCGTCGCTAGAAAAAAAGAAGTAGAGGGATAGAGGAGGCGTTTCAAATGAATGGATGACACCAAAACACCTGAAAATGTCACGGTTTTCATCCCTTTTAACTACCATATGTTTACCTAAAAACTTTTAATGTTTTATGGTTCAGATTCAGTCAAACATTATTTAGAAGCAAAAGGTAGGGCTGTTTTGAACTGTAGAAACATCGCTACCTTTAGAGTGAAGACCACCTGCCAACATCTTCCCCAGTCCAGACCATCCCTTTTGAAACTGTCTGGAATGAATGTTGTGATCTGTGCTGCTGCCTTGGCCAGAACGCGTTTAAAAAAAGAGATCAGTCGGCCTTTCCTGGTTATATAAAGGTTTAAAAAAATGACAATAACTCCCATGTGATCTTCCTCTGTTCCTCCAAACCGTGTTTCCATTTTGGTCGTTCATCATCATAGAACCAGTCTCACTGCCGTGCTCTAAAACTTTCTGCTGCTCCGCCCATCAACCCCCTCTGACCCCCTCATGGTAATCCTCAAATCAGATGCGTGTTCCCCTTTGCTTCTCACAGAAAGTTAAGAGCATGTTGTGTTATTTCTACAGATCCTTGTCTTTAATCTTAGACACTTTGTAGCTGCAGAGGTATTCTGCACAATCTGTCTGTAGAGGGATAGAGGAGGGGTTTCAATCTATATCGGTGTTTATAGCCTTTATTTTATAAATTTATATGGTTATTTATTGATGAAATAATAAGACACGATATAATCGGCCCCCTATCAGTATCGGCCTTAAAACTAAATATCGAACATCGGCCACCCCACCGATATTTAACCCGATATTTGATCAGCTTCTGAGTTTCTAAAGTCTAAAAAAACTTCTTTTTTACAGAGTTAAAAACTTCTCAAGACGAGGGAAAAAATATTGATAAATTAAAATATCACAATATCTTCATATGCTGATATATTGCCATTTAAAAACACCATATCAATCTCTTTTACTAATGAAATATTGCTATATGTCATCGTTATGCTACGAAATCCCCCGAAAATTCACCAAATTTTGCCATATTTTTATATGTTGATACTGTATATTGACGCGGTATCGATCTATTTTACTAACAAAATCTCACAAGAATTTGCAAAATCTCACGAGAGTTTGTAACAGAACGATGAAATTTCACGAGATTTTGAAAGTAAAATAGATCGATACTGCGTTTTTAAAAATCTATTTGATATCAGCATATGAAAATATATTTGAGTATATTATTTTTCAAAGTGTCAGAAATGGATAACAAAACTGCTATTTTCAATGACTACTTATTTTTGTCCAGCTTTAACATCGGTATCGATATCGGTTATTGGCTACATGAGTTTTAAAATATCGGATATCGGCCAAAATCCCAATATCGTGCATCCCTAACCTGGGCTTAGCATATCAGCTGATATCTGATACTGATTAAGCTCTAAATGAATGAACCATATATCTGCCATGTCTATGTGAAGGCTTTAGCCTGCTTTAACAAATTAGAAGAGATATTAATGGAATTTATATTATTAATTAACAAATAAGCAGCAAAATGAAAGAAATAACAGCTGATTATTAAGTGCACTGGGTTGGATTTCTAATATAATAATGGTTTCCCCTCTATTGATCTCACATTGGAGAAATTTACCTCTTCATTTAACCCATCCCCTTAGGAAGCAGTGGGCTGCCATCATGGGGCGCCCGGGGAGCAGTGTGGAGTTAAAGGAATAGTACACCCAAAACATGATTAGCCTTCATTTTCTACTCACCCCCATGCTGAACAACACTCTGGAGTACTTTTTTGATATCTCAAATGCATCTGGAGATCTGGGAGGCTTCTTGCTGTCTGCTTACATTCAAATAATAGAGGTCTATGGTGACCGAGGCAGAAAGGTCCATAAAAGTCCACAAAAAACGTGTCAATATTCCTCCATACTGCTCGTCCAATGTATTCCAAGTGTCCTGAGTGGGTAGCATCCAGAATTTACTCGAAACGAAGTCATTTAGAATGTTTTTAGAGCATAAACAGTAGTGTATAGGATTTCCTGAAAGCGCGCGCCGGTGCGTTCATGACGCTACGGAAGCCGGCAGACCAACCAGATGAAAGTGCGCATTCAGCGTCTGCTCTGCCAATAATGCAAGCGTAGAAGAAGAAATGTGCTGTTTACCTGTGCAAAGAAAGAAACAACGAAAGAAAAATGTCTGAGGACTTCAGTGTTGAGGAAGAGCATGAGTTCTTTGCCGAGCTGAATGCGCTGGTTTGGTCTGCCGGCTTCCGTAGCGTCGGGAGCGCGCATGTGCGCGCTTTCAGGAAATCCTATACACTACTGTTTATGCTCTAAAAACATTCTAAATGACTTCGTTTCGAGTAAATTATGGACGCTACCCACTCAGGACACTTGGAATACATTGGACGAGCAGTATGGAGGAATATTGACACGTTTTTTGTGGACTTTTATGGACCTTTCTGCCTCGGTCACCATAGACCTCCATTATTTGAATGTCAGCAGACAGCAAGAAGCCTCCCAGATCTCCAGATGCATTTGAGATATCAAAAAAGTACTCCAGAGTGTTGTTCAGCATGGGGGTGAGTAGAAAATGAAGGCTAATCATGTTTTGGGTGTACTATTCCTTTAAGGGTCTTGCTCAGAGACCCAGAGTGGCAGTCTGTGGGAGTGGGGCTCGAACTCAGAAATTCAGGATTCCGAGCTCTATGCCCTAACCACTAGGTCACCACTTCCCTAGTTTGGGGACTGATATCCAATCCAGATAATTCTTCTTCTATTTTATTATTGAACAAGTGTAAAGCACTTTGACTTCTCCTTGTACTGAATGTGGCTATACTAATAAACTTGCCTTGCCTAATTAGTCAATATCGGAGCAGATATCTGAGCCAGGTATCAGATCGGCTCATCTCTACCAATTACACTGTTAATAGATGTATTTTGTATCATGCTGTTCCTTTGGTTTGAAGTTCTTTAGATTGAAGGGAAAGTCCCAGACTAAGCGGATTGTTCTCTAGCTCAGAGGTCTTTTTTTTTTTTTCCCAATATTCCCCCCCTGCAATTTTTTTCCACTATTTGAAATGTCCTTTACGTACACATTAAGATGAATTCAACACGCTTTAGTAAAAAGATAAATGGAGGCAGAAGATGTCTTTCAGTCATCAATGCACACATTCAGAGACACACAGGAGCTCTTTCAATCTGGGCACCGTTTCATTCACAACACCTGTCCCATCAACCAGGAATCAGAATCAGAAATACTTTAATAATCCCAGGGAGAAATTACTTTCGTTACATTACTCCATCTGTAATAGAGTGACTATAGGAACAGGTTGATAGAACACTATTTCATTCAATATATATAATTGAGCCCCAAAATGATGGCGAGATGGAGGGACCCGCTCCATCTCGCCATCATTTTGGGGGTCCTTGGCTTGGAAAACGTTGAAGGCCCCTGTTCTAGCTGCAATGAGCAGAGTAAGGTGACACGCCCACTCCTCCCACTGACTGCTGCGCACTGCCAGTCAGGTTGGCTACCTAAGGAGAACAAGACTAATAGACAAAATGAGCACTGAGCTGGGATCTACCTATCAAAATATTGAAAGCCATATCAAAGTGTTAAAAGTTTAGGTTTAAAATTTTTTTTTTAAATCAATGGGCATAAATATGAAGGGTGAATAAAGCAGCCTGACAGTTTCATTACTCCGTTCGGCTAGCTGCTAACTTTAGCTCTACTTTATGTGCACAATATTACCGCCCTGACGTAGCACACAAAACAGACCCTATACTCACGAAAATGGGTATTTCAATACAATAAACACACCTGCCTTTGCCTGCGGGCATGTCTCTGTTTTAGCTTCGTAATAAAACTAAAACACAAGCTGCTAATGAGCCACCAGCTAACAGCCATAATAATATAACGGCCAGCAGGAACCTTCCGATCACCCTCGGTTTTCAGCTTGACCTAAACTGTTATTTTTACATAAATTGTTGCTTTTAGTTGCATAATCTCTACGGTTTTCTTACCCGAGCAAATGCATGCTGAAGAGGGGGATAACAAACCAAGAAGTGCTACCGCTGCTATTCTTCTTCTTCTTCGACCCAAACCGCCCCAACAGTACGCAGACGCCACATTGGACCCTGCGGCAGCGAGGCCGACGTGCCTAGAGGGCGGCCATCTTGGATCAGACCATAGTTCAGACAGCTGATGTCAATATGAATAGAAGGCGCCTCAGATCTCATTCTAACAACTCAATTCTAACAAGTCAAAGATATAGTATATAATATTATTCAGTATTTTTGAGGATTGTACGGTGATTAGTTATTCTTAGGAATTATTGTAAAGTTGTTGTTTTTTTTTTAAGTTTGTCTAAACTTCTCCTAAAAGTGAACATTAGGTGTTTTTAGCTAATGGGTGTCATATAGAAATTAAACACATAATTCTTAGACGTAGGCTTAGACATCGACAACTTTTGTTGTCATTTTATGTACACAGAGTGTATTCAAAACAAAATTTCATTTAGTACAGCTTTCCAGACAGTAAATAAAAATTTCCCTTCCATTAAATGCAGCAGTGATCAAAGGTAAACAGTGTGGGAGGAAAAAACATGGTGCAAAAAAATGCATTGACATGGAATTTCATAGCATTAATATGTATGCTGCAAATATGCAGTATTTGTATTATCAGTGTGATGCTGATTCTGTGACTTGATTTAGAGTTTTTCAACAGTTCATCAGTCTGATGGCAGGGGGGAAGAAACTGTTGCAGAATCTGCTGGACCTTCATAGAATGCTGCAAAGCCTCTTCCTAGAGGGCAGCAGAGAGAACAGTCCGTTGGGGTGTAAGGGGTCATTGATAATGTTATGGGCTCGGGACACCCAGCGCAGGGATGAAATGTCTTTTATGGAGGGAAGAGAAGCTCCAATTACCTGCTTTTTACACCACTCTCCTCACTTTCCTCGACTCTGAGGCGCTGCAGCCTCCACACCACACAGTGAGACAGCTGATCAGAACGCTCTGTATCTGTAGCTCTGTATGGTGCTTCTGTAGAAGGTGCTGAGGATGGGTGGGGGCAGGTGGGCTCTCCTCATCCTCCAAAGGAAGTACATGCGCTTCTGTGCTCGTTTGATCAATGAGGTGGTGTTTACATTACCTGACTCCGCCAGATGGATTTGCTCCGCATATCCATCTGGAAACCTTCCGTTGAAGTAATTTTGGGAAGGGGCGAAAATACTGGTTAGCTGATTGGCCTATGTTGGTGATAGACGGGCCAAATAAACCAATCAGATCAACGAAGCATATGACGTACTAACAGAGCGACGACGGAAACACAACCACAAGCCAGGCACAAGCCAATTGATAGATCAAACTCTTGTCGAAACCAGTTGAGAGAAGAGCAAAAACATCTTTTCCTCTGAGAAAAGCCTCCAGAGCAGTGTTTTGCTCTTCTTTCAGTGAAGAAATACTCTGTAATTCCGATAAAACTTGCTCGATAGCCACGCTAACGCTAGTTTCATCGGCTGAAGCCGCCATGTTCTTTAGACTGAACTGTCGCGCTTCTCGTTGCGTCACACCTCAACTCGCCTCAAAGCCAATGCTGATTGGACGTTCGTTTGGTGAATGGCTCCAAATTTTCTTTAACGGAAAGTAGCTAGACTGATCTGCGAGTGAAACCTTGAAAGCTCGAGAGATCAGGATGGTCTCACGAGGCTAGTGTTTACAATCCATGTGAGGTTGTCTGTGATGTGCACCCCCAGGAATTATGTGCTGCTGACCAACTCTACAGCTAAGCTGTTGATGAATAGTGGAGCGTGGTTAGGCCGGTTCTACCCAAAGTCGACGATGATCCACGTTCAGGATCAGGCTTTGCACCAGCCCACCAGCTGCTCCACCTCCTCTCTGTACTCCTGGGCATTGTCGTCTCTGATGAGGCTCAACCGTGGTGCCGTCTGCAAACTTTACAATGTGATTGGTGGTGAACCTGGGGACGCAGTCGTGTGTCATCAGAGTGAACAGCAGGGGGGCTCAGGACGCAGCCTTGAGGGGAGCCTGTGCTTAGGGTGATGACATCAGAGCTGTTCTGACTGAGGTCTGTTTGTGAGGAAATCTAACAGAAGGTCTAAAACAGTACAGTCAGGGGCGTCTCTAGGTTTAAGAGACAAGGGTGGCTGAGCCCCTAGAAGATATTGTGCGCGGTAAGCGCGCGCCAAAATTTTTTCAGTGCACCTGCTAAGGCGTTGTCTAAGTCCAGATTAACTTGTCTTCTTTATGGCTTTTATTCGGTGCTTTACTGCATTTGTTTTGGGAAAATATGAGGAAAAAATAAATACAGAAAAAAAAAATATTTTTTTTTAAATCGCAAAATAATTATAGGGTGGCTAATGCCAAAGAAAGGATGACTGAAGCCACCCTTAAATAGGTCTAACGACGCTTATGAGTACAGTACAGTTTTTTTTTCAACCTGGGCCTTTCAGTCAACTTTGCTTGGGGCCTCTTAATTCCTTGAAACTGCCCTGGTCAAAAGTATAAAGAATGTGGCATTCAGCTTCCTTTTATGACCTTTGGTGAAACTGGTATACCACTTTTCAACTGGAATATATATTTTTTTAATAGTGTCCTGTCTGGTAATGTGGCAATAGGAATAATTGTTTTGATGCCAAAAAGAGCCCAACAGATTTTGCTTTCACAAGTGGAGCAGTATAGCTATCGCCATAGTGTTCTGCTTGATTTATGCATATAAATAGCTTTATTATAATTCATGCAGGGAGTATAACAGATTTGATGGACACTGCAGTGTAAGTAGAACAGGAAAGGGAAAAAAAGAAAAAAAGGACAAAAGATGAAAGACGGAGGATATAAAAAGGGATACAACGATAAAACATCTTCAGTCTCGAACTGGAATATTTTTCAGGTGGCATGGCTGATACCACTTTTCGCTCTATGCGCTGCTGCAAACCAACATTGGCATTGTTCTACCTGGGTCTTGGTCAGGCTGGACCTTGAGCCATAGATGCGTAAAACAGTGGGACTTTATCTTGACCTTTCACCAAGAATTTCCTGTTCTTCAACCTTCTGTGGATATGAAAAACAAGTCAGCATAAAGAAAAAAAAAGAGAGAAAAACTGGTTCTATTTTTATTTAATATTTCTTAACTATGGGGTAGGGCGACTCTACATGAGCCCTTTATTTAAAAGGTTGTGAGGGCAGGTGGGCTCTCCTCATCCTCAGCAGGAAGTACATGTTCTTTTGTGACCTTGTGACCAGTGAGGTTCTGTTTACAATCCAGGTGAGGTTGTCTGTGACGTGCATCCCCAGGAATTTGGGGGTGCAATAAGTGAGAAAAGATGGATGGTTATTTGTTTAGCAGCTTTTCTCCTTTTTGTTCTCAATTCTATAAATATATCCAAAAATTTTTTAGCATGGAAACATTTCAGAAGATAGCTTTTTTTTAATGGTTTTTCTTCTCTCACTGTGGCTATGGGCAGAGACTGCTGGGGGACAACAAATGTATACAGCTTAGGGAGAACCATACAAGCGAAAGGCATCCTGCACAGCAGAAGGATAATGCACAAACATGTTTGGACTCTTTGCCTTGTGACCTTAAATACCTTCAGGGTTTAAAGACAACTTAGCTAAACAGTCGAGTCTCAAATTACTTGCACACATTGGAAACACAGCTATGATATTGCAATAACTAGGCCTTAAACCAGTTTTGTGTGATGTTCCTTTCATATAAAAGGCCACAAAGCGTAAGTTTCCACTTTCTACAAGGAACACCAAAAACAAAATTTTAATTAGTTCTTATCCCTGTCAGTCAAAACGTTTGGACCAATGGGAAGCGCTTCTATAGGGGCGTGGAACGAGGTGAACGGTGATTGGTCGGACCGCACCAGGCCTTGATCAATAACACCGACAAGAGTGTTTAGGCTGTTTTTCATTCAGTCTTCCTCCGGGAAATTTAACGAAAAGAACAAGTCTACAAGTATTTCTTTTAAATAAATTAAAGGTATGAGATATAAGACACAACACTGTGTTCGATAGGTTGGTGTTGCTATTTTTTGTAAACTGCGTATTTTTAGCTAAAATTAGCTATGTAGCCAAGTAGCTAGCTAGCTAATGCGCAACATTTAACGATAAAAACGAAACAAATTATGTATTTACGTTTCGTATTGTTTTTAGTATTGACCCACTTTATGCTTACGTATTTATTTAGAGCCCGAATAAGCACAAATATGTAGGGGTACGTAATAGGATTTACCCCGCTAATGTCAGCTAGCATGAGGCTAAAGTTAGCTTCGGTATTAAAACATCTCAGATCGAGTTTAATATGAAAGTGAAAAGGCAGACGGGTTGTAAACACTTTCACACTCTCAGTAGGTTTTGCTTTATTTTTTAAAATGATGTTAACTGACGTTGATAAAAACGATGGTTTCACAACGTTAAAAACATGCTAATGTTTTGCCAGTAAATGCTTCATAAGTTTGTCGTTACTGTTGTTTTTGACTGTCTAATTAATTGTGACGCGTTAAGTTCAGTATCTTCTTCCTGAATAACAACAGTTGGATGTCTAATTTTAATTTAGAGACCTAAATTTTTTGATCAGGATTGTAATTGATGCTCTCTTTTTTTATGGACCATTGATTTCATGTTATGTTTTTTCCACTAGTGTTTAGAGTGTATCCCGGGTTTAATTTAAATCAATAAAAATAAATTAATATTGTAGAGTTATATTTATTATAATACATATTATGGAAGATGTTTCAAGTGTCTTTACCTTTATCACCTTGAAATTAACCAGATCCTATCAGTTATTGGGATTCCACCACATTTAATGTTTTTCTCCTTCACCAAGGGATTTTTTTCTTAGGTTATTAGTCTGTTTAGGTGAGTGTTGATTTTAAATGTAATCCAAGAGAAACGGCACACAAGCCAACTATCTGCCTGAAAGGTAAATCAACATGATGTAAAAACAATCTTAACTCCCAGCATTGCTTGCTATCCTGTCATGGAAAGTTTTTCAGCTGTAGGAATGTTTGGATCTGACTCCATTATTTAGCTTTGTAGCTATTATTCTCTTTCTGTTCCCCAGTTTATCTTTTAACCTCTTGTTTTTTAGTGAAATACGTTTCTTAGGTTTCCATGTTATTAGTTGTTTCTTCCACATGAGCTTCCTTTTTCGTTGGAGTTCTGCCTCAATGAGGCTCAACAGTTTAACAGTTTTTCATTCTGTAAATTATGAAAAATTATCAATTTTATTAGAAGATAAATCAGTGTTCATGGTGCAGAGTGATAAACCACTGTTACTGTGGATGCTGTGGCTATTTATGACCCTACTTAAGATTTTGTATTCCTATCATCTCTGTTTCTCTTCAGTTTGAACTTTGCTTTGCCTCAAAAGCTGCTCCTTCATCTGTGAGTGTGTCTTCAGGGTGATGTCAGCTTCCTGCCTTGTGCGCCTAGCGAGGTGCAGTGCTCTCTTCCAGAAGGCTTTTGATCCGATGCCCTTTAAGCTCACTAGCCACAAAACAGATTACCCGTTCCTGTGCAGACAACTCTATGGACCTTCTGGGAAGCGATACAGCAACACACGCTTTGATCCAGACAGCAGCGGCCGCCTAACAACTTGGGATTCCTTTGGCATTTGGGATGATCGTATCGATGAGCCCATCATGCTCCCCCCCAGCATTCGTTATGGCAAACCTATTCCCAAAGTAAGCTTATCTAAAGTAGGTAGTGCTTCCCTCATTGGTCAGCGCAAGGAGAATGAGGATCGGTTCCAGGTCTCCCAAATGACTGAGAACATCCTGTATTTTGCTGTGTTCGATGGGCATGGCGGCGCAGAAGCAGCAGACTTCTGTGAAAAATACATGGAGAAATTTATCAAGTAGGGGACATGTACATATACATTTTATTATTAATGAAAATAATTGAAGAATTTCAGATCTAGCTGATGACATTTCTTTTCCTATTTCAGAGACATTGTGGCTGAGGAAGATAATCTGGAATTAGTTTTAACCAAAGCATTCCTTGAAGTTGATAAAGCTTTTGCAAGGCACTTGCACTTCTGTCCAAATGGTAGGTAGTCTTATTTAAATATTACTTCAATCATTTCATTATACTGGATTGTAACTGTAACTGTTTTTTGTTATTTAACATCCTAACAAGTGTGAGAAGCACAGACAGGAATCGTGGAGTCACCAAGTCATTTCCACCTGTACTTTGAACTAAACTGTGCTGGTTGGACTCTTCTGGTTCAGTGGCTGGACAGAACAAATACATAGTATGCAGATGACTTTCTGATTCCACAATTTCTATCTCTGGGGAGGTGTACAATAGTTTTCAATCTACATCAAAACAAGTGACTAGAAAACTTAAATAGTACTACACTGTGGAAATTCTTTCCGACTCATCGAATACAGTTTATTTAATAGAGTCTCCTTTAGTGGCTTGCTCAGTGTCTGATGCTGTCTGTTTCTCTAGCTTTGTTAGCCATCTATTTATCAGGCTCAGATAGTTAGTACTTTTCTGGGCCTCAGCAGGTAAATAGAAGCTCGGCTAAACAGTTGCACGTTGAGTTTTTACACTGTCTTTGCTTACAAAAACTAAATCCAAATACAGGTCAGTGTGTAGAAAAACAAAGGTGTGGGAAGTTTCTGCCGATATTATCCTGTCAACGTTATCATGAGGGCCGGGGAACCTTACCATGAAATTATAAGACTAGTGAGGCTCATCAGCTAGAGTTAGTAGAATGCAAAGTCTTTTCTAGAGAACTTTCTAAACTATTTAACATCATCATCTAACAGAGGAAAGGGGAGAAAATATTGATGACAGTTGACTATCTGCCCATTAGTTTTACTATATTTGGAGTTGACTGACTCAGAGATGTAGAGTTCAGATGATTAGTTTGTGGTAGTATAGCTTAGCTTTCCAGTAGGGCTGAAACAAATAGGTTATTCATGAATACTCGATTATTAATAAAAATTGTCAACTAATTTAATAATCCATTAATTGTTAGCTGGATTATAGAGACTAAACCATGCCTCCAGCTGACAGAGCTACCGACTTAAAGCAGTAATTATACCAAAATTGTTCTTTTGTTTGGAGATTGTTCTTCTTCTTTAAAGAACTTTTTGCCATCCGATTATTTATTGAATAATCTAAAAAATAAATCGACAGATTAATCGATTTGCAAAATAATCATTAGTTGCAGCCCTAGTTTCCATGGCTGCAGTGGAATTGATCCCAAATGTGTATATACTTTTAGCTTTTTTATTTTAATCTTTATTATCTTGTGTGGTTGGTTGTGTGTGTATATATATATATATATATATACATAACTGTAACTGGAGCGTGTAACAAAAGTAATTTCCCTCTTGGATTATTAAAGTATTTCTGATTCTGAAATTTATCAGAACACCAAACTGTTTCCTGCCTGAATTCCAGTTTGAAATCAGGCAGGAATTCAACCGTTTTCTGAAGTTCGGCATAAACTTATGAAAGGGAAAATAAAAGGTCCTAAACCAAAAAAAACAAACAAGGTAATTTCTCGAAAGAAGGCAGAGGCTTTACCGCCTCAGCGGGCAGTAATTATCTAGATATGACAAGAGGAATTGTGAAAGGAGATTTATTAATGTTTTTTTTACACACCGTCTCTGTATGTTGGTTAGCTTTAATAATGTGTTCAACCTGGAAGATGAAACTAAAGAATTGTCAGCAGAATGTCTGTTTTTGTTTTTACCAGAAAGTTCCCTGAAATCATTAGTTCCAAAAAAGCCAAAAAACAATTTCACTCGGGGAAACCTGGGATGTTTCTCAGTTAGCGAGCATTTCTAGAATAGGATTAAATCTTCCTGTAAAAGCTCAAAACGTGTTGTGGCCTAATTTTGGCCACGCTGTGTGAAATGTCCCAATATGCCTGTGTGTGTGTGTGCATGTTATCTACGACAGCTGCTGACCCAGCTCAGAGCTGGAGGCCCTTGGTACCAGTGTGGATGACGAGAGGATAGATATTGAAGGAGTGTCCAGCGGGTCCTAAATCCTGGACTACTGGAAGGTTTCCTATCTTTCTCTAAATCCTCTTTGTTTTCTCTTCTCACACCCAATGCATTATTCCTGTGAGACAATGCGTCTGTTTGAGATGTTCAGGATGTTTTTAGTGAACTGCCTTCAGTCAGTGCAGCATGATTTTAATACAGCACTCTAAAGACACCGCTGGTGAAAAGCATTAAAGGTAATTCAATTTCTAAACCTCAAGATCTCTCAAACATTTAGAAAATCCAACCTTTATTGGAAGGCAAATAAAGCAGCACCATATTGATCCCTTTAAAGCAGAGCTCTGCAACCTTTCATATCCAAAAAGCCATTTTACTCTATATGCGGCTACGTTAAAATCATTTCAATTTGCTAAATTTTACGTGACTTTTTAATAAAACCAACATATTATTTTTGTTTAATATCTGTAAGTTAGTAAATCTTTTTGCATCTCGAACAACAGTTTCTTTGTATGTTTTGCTTTTGAAATAAGGATAAAGAAAAGGGTTGATAAAGATGAGGCATGGATTTTCTTTTAAAGGATTTTATTTGATGTACCAAAAAAAAAAGATAATAAAACAAGAGTTCAAATACAATTAAAAGAAAAATAGCTCTATAATCATTTCTGTTCTTTTAATGTCATTCTTGACATTTCATAATTCAATTTCATACTTGTGAAATTAAATGCAAATATTGTCTAGAAAAACACTAAATGTTCTAAGACCAATATTTGTTATTATAGCACACAAGTTGGTTCTTTATATCATTTTTAGCCACTATTGAGAACCATTGCAGAAGCTCCAAAGACAGTGCTTTTTGTGGCCATAGATTTTGTCTTGTTAAAAACATTTGGTGGTTTAGCCTTACTTCCCTTTTTCTAATTCCATCTTTAAAAATGCCCTTTAGAGTCTAAAGTCAAACATTTTCCCTTTACATTCATCCTTGGTGCACCCCTGCTGAGTGGCCCATCATGGTTTCACTGACTACTGGAAATGGAGAATTAACAAATGCCCATTTCTTTCAGCTAGAAACCAAGGAGGCCCAGAACTTTAAGGGTTGCCCTACAGGCTTTACAGGCTTCAGCCTTAGAGCCTGTTGCTGTTAGGTGAAAGGAAGAGCAGAATGGAGTCTTTATTCGTCCGGAACGAAAAACAAAATCTCTGCTCACACTTGACCTTCAGTATTTGTTAATATGCGCTCTGAGGCTCCCTGCGCAGCAAAGAAACAGGAGAAATTATGTCTAGTCAGGTCAGAGTTAAGGCGCAGAACTCTGGTGCACCTCTCCAAAATGTTTGAGGACCGCAGACAATGCTGCAGACAGGAGGCATCTGATTGGTCAAATCTACATCCGCTCTACATTATGCGCATTTCCTGCTTGGTACCTCACCGCCTTGTTTTGTTTGTATGACCGCCATTGCGGAAAACGCCCCTTTTCGCCCTCATGTCCCTCTGTCTTACAAACTTGCCCCCATTTCCTCACCGCCTCGGCCGTATCTAGACCCACAGCTAGATCGGGATTGTCCCTCTTGCGTTGTAGCATGGAATAACATAGCGCAAACCACGCTTCGATATTGGGTATGAATCAAAAATATCTGCGTCATACCTGTGACAAGCTCACTGCGACACACTGTTGTGGGAGTATAACCAGCCCTTTAGAAATGCTTCTGATGTAGGGGATGAAGACAAATGTTTAAACTGTAACAGAACGGGGAAGTAAGAGAAGAGAAACAAACTGCTATAGGTTCAGCGTAATAGTGCAGCTTAAAAGGGCCTGCCTGTGTAAAGCACTGCTGCAGAAGGAAATAAAGTATGTCCGCTTGGGTTAGATAAAACTCTGCTCCAGTTAATGATCTAAAAGTCACTCTGTGGGATTTAGGTCCTAGTAATTTTAAAGCAGTTTGCTCTAAAACAGATGGTATTCTCTCTTCTCTTTCTCCTCTGCCTGCATCATCTCCACAAAGTGATCACATCTGCCACACTTGTCACAGCTGCCTATAGTCTGCACGTAATACTATGAGATAAGTAATGAATGCATTTATCTGCTGCTTAATTGGATCACTCTGCAATTATCACATAAACATATTTGCATCCTTCCCTTCAATTGCACCCTTGAGCTTAAACATGAAGTGTTCGAGGCAAAAACCAATTGGACAGCAGAAGGTGTTATTTTACTGCACACATAGGTGCATCTGGTCAACATTCATACCTGGCTCTCAATATCTTATTTAAATGCCTCACTAATGAGAAATCCTTGCAAAGGCTTATCAGCATCTCTTTATAGTTGATCCTTCCCCTAAAATGAAATTCCTTCAGAATAACCTTGTCAATCATGTTGATTTGTTCCTCTAAAGGGCAGATTATGAATCTTCTGCAACCGCACACATCAAATGTCGCTAGGGTCTGATTGCAAACCAGTTTTGCTGGTATGCTTCTGCACCATCGGTCTGGAATTTCTAGGGTTGCACATCTGTTTCCCGCCAAAGCGCAAGGGGAGCCTATTTGAGAACTTGCAAGAACTTTGGGTGAAGGTCACGAGAACTTCGGCGGCACCGGCAGGAGTGTTTACCTTCCAAAACAAGTCTGCAAGATATCATCGTCACGGAGATGGAACTAGAGTTGCAATGGAGTTGGCAAAAAGACAAAGGAGGACGCGTAGGTTGTCTATTGTAGTTGTTCCTCGGTTTTTAAAAATGGCGCGCCCCGGCACCGAATCGGGAAGGGCGACCTCACAGACAGCCGGAAAGGCATACCAAAGACCAATCACAACTGCTTTTTGACTGCGCACTTCCGCTTGAGGCGTGTGTGGCTTTGCAACCATCCGACGCGTAGTCAGGATTTTTTTGAGGTGCGCGACAACGGTTGCAGAACCTCTGCATGGGGGGGCATGCACAGAGACACATTTGAAGGTTGCAGAGGCTACTCTTCAGAAGCATAAATTGGCCTCAACAGTTTCAGAAGGTGCTCTGTAGGTGGATAATGTTCTCCTGGGCTCCGTACTTTCCAGTGAAATAAAGATCAAAACAAAGATCTTGTAACTGTTCCCAGTTAAAGGTTGGATCTAAATAAATGTTTGATTTTTGCAGTCTATCTACTTTAGTAGTCAAAACAAAGCAATGTACAACAAATCTAAACAAAACCATCAGGTCTGAATAACCAAGCAGTCAAAGCTGCTCACTTTTCATTTCATTCGGCCAAAGAAGAATTTATTTGGAGGCTCTTTGCTCATCTTTCCCAGCGGTGTCAGTAACTATGAAGGATCAAAGACGGATTACAGAGATTCAAATTAATTTCCCTTAAGGAACTAAACAATGCTGCTGTTACCTGCACATTTGTAGCCTAGCTTTAATGTTTTATAGAGAAGTTGCTCTTAGCCCTTTATAAGAACATCAGTTTAGGAATGATTCAGTTGGTCTTTTTTCTTAAGACCGACTGTTGGCTGTCTTTACACCTGTGTCATTCTCGGGCAGCAAAAAAATTATATTTAAACATTTTAGATCAGCTTTGGTGTTATTAGATAAGACTGGACACTTTAGATATGTTGTGTTTTATTTGTTTTCAGTGTTCATATTTACATTACACTGCTACAGGCTTTGCTGCAGATCTCACAGTTGTTCCGCAGTTCTTCAAACTGTAGTTTGCCCCCAGTATTAGACAAATTCAGCCTGTTTGTTTACGCCTTGCTTTGTGGATGTGACTGTTGACCTGCTGTGTTTCTTATTGTCTTGTTTTGCTGCTGACAGCTCCTGTTTGTCTTTCTAGGACCGGGAATCAATGCAGGAACCACGGCCACCGTGGCCCTGCTGAGGGACGGCATCGAGCTGGTGGTCGCCAGCGTTGGGGACAGTCGCGCCATGCTGTGCCGTAAAGGCAAGGCTCTTAAACTCACTGATGACCACACCCCTGAAAGAAAGGATGAGAAGGAAAGGTAGGTGGTGAAATGATTACCTCATTTTAGCCAAATGAATACAGGGATGTTGATTAGAGCAGTGATCCCTGAGCCCCACACAAAAATAAAAAAATCCATTAATTTTTGTCTTACACTGTGTGCAGAATTATTAGGCAAGTTGTATTGTTGAGGATTATTTTTATTATTGGGCCACAATTGTGTTCTCAATCAACGAATCAAACGAATTCGGTGACCAATATAGCCAGCTTTCTTCACCATGACACTCAAAAGCCGTCCATCCATAGATTCTGTAAGGCTATTTGCCATGAACCGCTGGATTGTGCGATGATCCCGGTTCAAAAGCTTGCCAATTTCGAAACTGCTGCACCCCTCTGGAAGAAATCTGACCATTTTCTTACTTTTCAGAATCTGTCAAATCTCTTTTCTGAACCATTTCGCCAAAGGAAAGGAAGTTGCCTAATAATTAAGCACACATTATATAGGGTGTTGATGTCATTAGGCCACACCCCTTCTCATTACAGAGATGCACACCACCTGATTTACTTAATTGGTAGTTGGCTTTCAAGCATATACACCCTGGAGTAGGACAACATGTGTGAAAAGGATGATGTGGTTGAAATACTCATTTGCCTAATAATTCTGGACAGTGTATATATTTTCTGAACCTGAATGAAACTCAGGGCTTCCATTGATTCACTGCTAGCAGGCTTTTTTCATACACTTTGTTTTTCTGGTGTCCTATTTTAAAGGCATGTTTAATGTTACCATGGTAACCAGTTACAGACTGGTCTGAGGCTGGTTGGGGGCCACTCTTGAGTCCGGTTGACTGTACTTTAGTCACTTTATTCACATCTAATGTTTTAGATCAAACACATGCTATAATCAGAAAAAGTTACCTCAAGCAAATACAGACTGCACACCAGAAATTGTGACAAACACCCCCCCATCTGTGGACTAATAACTGTTGTTTTATCAATCTGCTGTGTACGGGTTGCTACATTTTTATTTATTTTTTTTGGTTCAGTTTAACCAGCAAACACTCAAGCCTAAACGTTGCCAGTCCCGAAGCATGAGAAAACAGTTTGCTTTTGCTGCTTGATTTAACTATAAAAAAAAAAAGGGAACTGCAATCATTTTGGAGCTGCCCTCATTTCTTTAAGTCTTCCATGGATGCGGATTTACTTCTGACTTCTTAAAGCTTTAACCCACAGCTCCTTGGCTGTTCTGAAATTTGTTGTAATTGTAAGGAAGGGATAGTTTCCCAAAATACGAGGGTTGATCATAAATGGTGGTGTGGCTGAAATGTAATTGCAGGAATACGACCAAAACAAATTTCTGCTGAAATTGTTGAGCCTTATTGAATGATCACTTTACTTTGGGTCTTGCCTATAAGCAGGCTTTCCAATTAAAAGAACAAGAATGATGTGTCAAAAAAAAAAGATCCTGGTTGTTGATTGGCGATATGTTGTCAGTCAGGCTGGTGTTTGAGAACAACGCCTCTGAGGGGTTCTGCACAGAAAGAGGAAAAGCAACTTTGGCATTTTTATCGCTGGATATTTTCCCCTTGTAGAAGTTGTGTAGATCGTACTTCCAAGTCGGCTTTAGCTTCAGTCTAAAACATGCTAACTTTTGTGTATACCTGACTGCCATCCTCAGGATAAAGAAAAGTGGGGGGTTCATCACCTGGAATAGTCTGGGACAGCCGAATGTGAATGGCAGACTGGCGATGACTCGCAGCATCGGAGACTTCGATCTGAAAAAGACGGGAGTCATTGCTGAGCCAGAGACCAAAAGAGTAACGGTAAGTTCATATCTGAAGGCATAGCAGTACCACCTTTTCTTAACATTTTCTGGGATTAATGCTCCACCTCGTAGATGACAGGTATGTCTCAGAAATTTGGCATATTGTCAAACATTGAATTCTTTTCGTCATTCTTTTCAGAAAGTGAAACTATCATATTTACTGCTTGATGATTATGACTTACTTACAGACGACAAACCATAAAATTAACAGTTTTAGTATTTAAAATGTAAAATATATGCATTTAAAAGGAAATCGTTGGTTTTACAAATGTTATGGACATATTATAACCCCGAGCATTATGGGGAAGACTACTGAAGTGACAGGTTGCCATCCATGCCTCCAAATTGTGCGTACCCCGTACAGGCTGGTCAGTGTTGATGTGAGCGACAGCACATTTCCATACCGTTTTTGTTTTTATTCTGCACCACATTTGTTAGTAACGTGGCATCAGATCCCGTTTTGTGCGTCCGGCAGCTTTATAAATGGGATTCCAGATGGCCGTAGAGAATCTATGGATACCAGAACCAACAATGCTGATGACCTGAAGGCAGCTATTAAAGCAACCTGGGCTTCTATTGTCTTTATCTGTTAACCATAATTATCAAATTACAAGAAGTAAATCCTTTGAAATATGCTACTCTATGTATAATAAACCTATATAACATGTTGTTTTCCTTTATAAATTAATACAAAAATATGAGAGACGTTTACAATATTCAATTTTTTTTTTAAATTGTACTTAATCTTATATAAATGTTTCCTGGACAAACTACCAATTTATGTGTCTAAAAAAATGATTTGTGTTCCTTGTCTGCAGCTGCATCATGTCCACGACTCCTTTCTGGCTCTGACCACAGACGGCATTAACTTCATCATGAACAGCCAGGAGATCTGCAACGTCATCAACCAGTGTCATGACCCCAAAGAGGCAGCTCAGAGAATATCCGACCAGGTAGAAAATACTTCACACTTGGAAAAAGATTTCAGAACTCAGAAACACAAGGATAAAGAGGAGTTTTCATATTTTTATCTTCTCACAACCACAGCTTATTGTATAGTTTATACCAGGGGTAACCAATAAAAAATCAGGGGGGTCAGAATAAAGAAAACATATCAAGGTGCTCATTTTGAGACTGGATCCATATTTATTTTTGATTATGGTCATGGTGGACAATCCTGCTTCACAGCAGCAGGTTGAGCCAAACATACTCTAAATGTTCAGGCTCCGCTCCGGTCCGACCAGGTCAAGATCTGCATTTGCAATCACACCAAACAGGAAAAAGAACGGTGAGAAGATCCGGTTTGTCAAATTTAAGTATAGTAACAACAGATCGGTAACTACAAATTAGAGAATAATTCTTATATATTTCAAAAAAACTAACGCCGTTTATTTAAATGATTGGATGCAAACTATTGGTAATTCAACAGACCAGGAAGCAGATTTCTCAGAAACTGCAGATATGTTGGATGCTGATGGGGATGATTTAATGTCATATTAAATTAAGCCTTCTTTTTTGCATGTTTAGCTCCTACGAATTTAATGATACTATTGCGCACGCTCTCTTCGAGCTCCGAGGATAAGTCGGAGTGCAGCAATACAGGAGGAACAGCGGAGGCTGTAGGCTTTGCTTTGCGCAGGAGGTCTGGAGTGCTGCGGGGACAGTGGAGTGGAGACAGAATATGTGTGATTTCAGGGTAACAGCGGCACATGTTACGTTTAGACACTGTCATCAGACAACATGCCATAAATTGGGTTGGGTCCGGATCCTGACCTCTGGTCTATACCAAAACCTAAAAGCTTAATCTCTGTTTGAACACTTATATAAATGAAACTGTTTGGAGAGAGCAGATGGCTCAGCAGGAAAGAGTCGGTAATAGACTTGAGGGCATCAGCTGGTAAACTAGCAAACTACAAATAGCTACATATTGAAGCAACGCAACATTACCTGAACCAATAGCAAACATTGCCGCAATTTATTTTCCACATCAGGTTAGTGAAAGTTTAAGGCAGCAACATTCAAGATGAGGAGGAATATTAATGAACGCAGTCATGTTTTCTGAGACTGAACTTGTCTTTTTGTTATTATGTACCGAAGTTTAGGTAGAAAGTTTTAGGCCCCTCCCTGTCTATTGATAGAAAAACCCGCCACGTTAACAGTGTAAAGGAAAATATATAATACTTGACCTTAAAACTTTTAGATGATTTTGCTTTCTGTTTATTATTTCTAACCAATCATGCAGTTTCAACTTATTCCCAAGTTACGCCAATGAAAACGGACCAGACTTAATTCACAAAATCCCTTGTAGATTATATTGTATTAAAACATTTTTAAGCTCTCAATTATTGTGATTGTTTAAAACCACTTCACCCCATGATAATATAGAGTTTAAATAATATGTTGTCATCAACATCATCATCTCTACTCATACTTTAAAGCCTACAAACCTAGCTACTGGCATTTAGTTTAGTTTAGAAAGGTATTATCTGTCAATGTTGTGTTGTGAAAATTCTATACATTTTTCATGAATTTACATTAATCCCCCTCTTTTTGATAATTTATTCATTATCTAGTGTGTCAGTTCTCTCATCTTTTCCATTTGGATCCTGTCTGATGTTCGCTGACCCTCTGGGATCGACCTAAAAGCCCATAATGATGCTAGTGTCGCCTGAGGCAGAGGGCATCCTGTCACTTCTTCAATGTCTTTATATCAATCAGCTGCATCCCTCCTTATGAAGTTCAGATAAAAAAAAAATGTCTTTATTTCCTCTAGAGTGGAATCTTTCCTAAGGCCAATCTGAGTTCAAATTTATTTAAATGTTGTCTATCCTTTTCATTTATAGTCTAGCTTTTAGTAGTTTAAACAAAAGTAAAACTCAAAAACAACCATTATATTAACTTCCTGCTTTAAGTGAGACAAACAAAAAAATGAAAAAAAAAAAAAATCAGACAAAACACAAGATAAGATATACAACAAACTGATCCATTCAAAATTTGGGTAACCAATTTTTAGGATCATCCTTTCAATCATTTAGTCCCTCTGGCAGAAAACCGGCTCTCTGTTTGGGTGCTTTTCGTGGGACACAATTACAACATTTCACCACCATACTTCATTTGACCTTTTAGGTCACACTGAAAACACAGAAACCAAAGCAAAACTGTAAGCTCCTCAAAATGTCCTTAAGTCGTTCTAAAACAACCTTGGTTAGCCATGGAATAAAAGTTAGTTTACACTAAAAACAAACTCTCCATACACCTTTAGGAAACGGCTGTAACAGAAACAAGAGCTTGTCAAAGGTTCCTAGGTCCACACTGAATGTGTAAAAACTGGCACTGAGGGAACGCATTTGCTATCTTGAAAGTGTGTGTAATAAAAATGGTTTGTTACATATTTACCATAACGGGCGTTAAGGGGTTAACGGTGTATTTGACTTCATTTAAAGAGCAAAAATATAATCTCCTCACCAGGTCTGATTTCGACAGCCGTATCGTAGCTTCCCAGTCCAATTTAAGCCGGGCGCACACTGTGCGATATTTTCAATCGTTGCACACAGCTACAACACAAACTGTACGACGAAACCGCATGGTTTAAAAGTTCACAGCTCACGATGTATGTTCTCACACTCTGCGGCCCGACGCTCTGATGCGATCTACCTGCTCACACTGCACTTCCAAAAACCCCACGTCGGACTGAGCGCCGAGAGATGGCGCTGGTCAGAAAATCTGGAAGAACAACTCCCTTGTTTGAACTTGCACAGTGCTCGAGGTTCTGGTAAATCGGCTCATAGCTCTGCTTCAACAGCAGGATTTGTCTACGATAGGGGTGGAAAGGTTCACAAAATCCACGGTTGGGTTCACGGTTTCGTGGTCACGGTTTTCGGCTCGGTTTGATATTTGTTGATTGTTAGGAAAATCAAATATGTCTTGTATAGTACAACACGTGTTGCACAATGCTTGCACACTGTTGCACTTTTATCCACAACTTTCTTTCCGCCGTCATCGTAGGTCACTCTAAATGCAAAGCGCTCCCATACAGCAGACCTATAAAGTGCTGCTGGCGCGTCTTCCAACTCCTGTTCTTTCCCACTCGCCAATACCTACACAATTCTCCACAACAACTGATTTTTTTCTGCTACACCCGGCTACGCTGCTTCGCTTCTTCTTCTTCTTGTTTACTACTGGTGGTTGGCTTTGGTCGCAGTACCGCCACCTTCTGCTCTGGAGTGTAAACGCTTCGCCTATGAGAAAAAGGAGCAGCGCATGAACCGAACGCAAAACACACAAACTGAACCGAGACAGTTGAACCGAACGGTTCGGACGGTTTTCATAAATCGTTCCATCCCTAGTCCACGAACACCTCATGAGGGCCGATTGAATTTCAAACATGTTTGATTTTCTCCTGACCTTACAATTCCTGATCGTGGTGGTCATGAAAGGCTAATCGCCCCTTTTTACCCCTTGTACACGATCAGGCTGAAACTAAGCCCGATCTAAAGAATCTGGCTTTAAAATAGGCTGTTTTGTGTTTTAAATGTGGTCTTTGTCTCTTTTAGGCTCTTCATTACGGCACTGAGGACAACAGCACCATCATCGTGGTGCCGTTTGGTGCCTGGGGAAAACACAAGAGTTCAGACGTCAGTTTCTCCTTCAGCAGGAGCTTCGTGTCCAGTGGCCGCTGGGCGTAGTCCGCAACCACCTGGATTCAAGAGGTGCTTTCTGCAAGCTTGATCGACGTGCAATATAAGCTGAACCCAGACAATGATACCTTATAGGTTTGACATGTTGTTTAGAGCAGCTTGATGTGCAGCCTCTGTGAAGAACGGGGCTGTGGATTCATGATGTAACTAGATAATTTCCCTTGTTATATAAGGTTTTATACGACTTGTAATGCTGCAACGTTGTGGTGCTGAAAACAGAGAAACCTTTGAATGGCAGGCTGAAAGACTGAATGACATGAAAGCTTGGCCAATGAGAAATACCAAATTAAATGTTAATTAAAACAACCTAAACAGGCTTCTTCTACATTTAACCTTTGGTGCACATCTCAAATATACTCCAATATACTCCGTTCTTCATTAAATCCTAGGTTGCGGCTGAATTTGGCTGATTCAAATTTTCTTTTTCAGTGAGTAAAAATATTTGAAAAAATACATTTAAAAAGAAAAACAATTTCACAGGCTCTTCGAAGAAGCTTGAAAGCTTTAGATCAGACTAAAAAAAATTAGGGAATGTTTGTTTCCATTGTGGCTCAAGCATGTGTAAAAAACAAACAAACCGTGCAACAGAGACGGCATTTGATTTGGATTTTATGAACCAAAAAGCTTCCCGATCCGCAGAATTCATCAAACAGTGAAAGTTTGGTTGTTTATTTTGTTCAAATTGAGTGTCTGATTGCTGCATGTTTACTCTAACTGCTTATCGGTTCCAATGGGCAGGGTTCTGGTTCCTGATGAAAACTGTTTTTCTTGTACAGCACACCTAATCAGTAGTTTAGTTTTTTTCTTAAAGGGTCCAAGTTATTTATCTCCTCTGTAACTCCTCCTGACCAATCCAATATTGGCTGCAGAACTTTTCATTTTCCTGTTCGCTGTATTGATAGAGAAGTCACCAAAGCACCTCTGAAAACATCATTTAGCACAATCCCAGAGTTTTAGACAAGAAATGGAAAGTTTTGTTTCAGTGTCACTACTGGGCCTTTTTTGAAAGTGCTCATGGATGTTTAGGTACAAAGATGTATACAGGAATGTATAGTGTCTGTATGTAAATAGTTATATTTATATAACCTCTGCAAAATGTGTGTGTATATAATGTATATGTGTGTGTATAGGAAACTGACTGTGACAGAATTATTTTCATGCTTCATTTTTGTTTTCGCTGCGTTATATCCTGGTCTTTTGAGTTTGCAACCTGCACAACACTGGGGCAAACACTAGGTGTCATTATTACGTATCGCTCCATTAATGTGAACCTTAAAGCAGACTTGAACCTCTTCATGCAAGGACTATTTGTGTCTTCTGGCACCCCTTGAATGCTTTGCTTTTCATTTTATCTGAGTAACAGACATAAGGTATTGTATTTTAGTAAATTGTCTGTAAGTTTGATCATAGTGTTTTGATGAGGCTGTGATTTAAGCTTAAACGTAATTTATCTGTCACATAGCCTGCAACCAGAGCTTTGGCTTTTCTTCAGTAGGTTACATGTTTTATTGAGTGAACTCATCATAATTGAACCTAAATGTGATGTATCAACAACACTGTTACTGTGAGTGGGTTTCTTTGTTTTACCCTTTTTTCAGATTTTTGCTCTAAACTGCTCATCAATCATGAAATAAAGAAACCAAACCTAATATGTCTTTGATCTGTTTAGTGATTGATTGCAAAGTGGAGTATTACCAGGCAGGGGTTGGTAAAAACCACTTCTCTTTATTCAGTTACATGTAATTGAGTAACTTTAAAAATATATATTTTCTACCATGGCCTCATTTGCACAGTTGAAAGATAAATATCACCTTTTAAATTCTGATTTCTTTCGCTATCTTCAGATGCGACACTTTTTCGCTTCACAAATGCCCAAATTCTCAACTACGATTGAGACAGAAAGCATTGATGAAATTTTGTCGCTAAATCCATCAAAGAAAGGTCTAATGTCTAAATTGTACAACATTCTGCTGGATCTTAAAAACCCCTCTGTGGCTTGGGAAAAAGACATAGGTCTCCCCATATCTGATGACACCTGGTCTTCTGCTCTTGGGCTGGTCAACTCATCCTCGCTTTGTGCTCGGCACCGGTTGATCCAGTTTAAGGTGGTACATCGGGCCCATATTTCTAAGGCTAAGCTGTCATCTATGTACCCTACAGTCAGCCCACTATGCATCAGATGTAATCTTACGGAGGCCTCTCTTTCCATATGTTCTTCTCATTTCCTCTATTAAGCAACTACTGGAAGGCAGTCTTCAATACATTATCTTGCACGTTTAACACCAAATTGGAACCAAATCCAGTTTCAGCCCTATTTGGGGTCCTGGAGGGTGGAGCTGTTTCAAGTGCTACTAGAAAATATTCTATAGCCTTTGCTTTACTTTTGGCACGTCGTGCAATCTTACTCAGATGGAAAGATGCCTCCCCACCATCTCATTCACAGTGGCTGCAAGATATTATGTCTTGTCTAAAACTCGAAAAGATCAAGTACTCACTTAAACAGTCTCTTGATCCATTTGAGAATTTGTGGGGCCATTTCTTGAAAGCATTTCCAGCTCTTTAATTGCTCAGACAAGCTAAACTGCACTGATTCCATCTTAGGCGGGTCCTGAATGTTGTGGAGTGATCATATAGTTTTGGCAGTGACGGGTTGGGTGATGGGGAAGGGGTTATTTTGTTTGTTTTATTGTATTATATCTTTGTGCTTCACTACTTGACTTGTTCTATTATAGTTGCCATGCTACTTTCTCTATTTGTGAAGCTTATATTTCTTTTACTTTAACAAACTTTTTTATGAGCGACTTGTTCAATTGGCTTCTATAAGCCTACCTTGCAAAATCTTATAACAGTGCTCTGTTTTTTGCCTATGTAAAACTGAATAAAAAATATCTTGAGTAAAAAAAAAATAAATATATATATATTTTCAAGAGTAGTTTTGTTGTACTGGACTTTTTACTTGGATAAAAACATGAAGGATTATTTGTACTCTTACTTGAGTAAAATCTGTCGATTACAAAATGATTTTGTTGACGCTCCTTTTTTTTTTTCTATGACGATGGTGAAAAATGAACATAGACATCATGGATCTTTAATAAAAACATTACAAGTCACGGATGCGAGTGTTTATTGATGTGACGAGTCAAGATGATGTTTGTTGATAGGTATGTCTGATGTGTAAAATGCATCAGAGTGCAGAACAGTTCCCACTCATTACTCCATCCAATGTCTTGCCCACAACCAAAATCAAGTAAATTAGAAAAGAATCCTAAAGAAATCATGATAATCTAATTAGAAGCAAAATAAAGTTTAAACTATTACTGTAATTGTGGCTTATTTAACATATTTACTTCTTCAATAAGTATTTTATTTAATTACTTCATTTGGGATGATCAAATTGATTTATATTGTCTTTCAGAAACCTAAAATGAAATATCTGCCCTGTATGTAATCTAATCAAAAAGAAAACGGTGTATCTTGTATACACTGGAAATCTGGTATTGAACATTTTAAAACACTTACATTTTATGCCAATAATTGAAATGTTAGGAGGATTATTGTCAGAATTATTTCCTTGTGGATTTCACTACTACTAACAATAACATAAACCTCAAGATGGTGCCAGAGGCAAAGTAAAATATTTTATTGCTGTTTATTGAGAATGCAGTTGGGCATAAATCTGAATACTCAACAGAGCGAAGGTTATAATGCAGTTCCTCATAGGTGGGAAATTTTAGGCCTGTGACCTGGAAACTCACAAGATGTAACCTTTTTATCCAGTTGATATTAAAGCTTATGATGTATCTTTGATTATTCTTCAGGATATCAACACTAATATATCAATGCAGCTTTCCTTCTCAGTCAAAACTAATGAGCGTCACTGGGATGGAAACCTTTTCACAAGCTTCTACATGTAACACAATGCCCTATTTTAATGTCCACGTGAAGCTTAAACAGAAAACAAACCAACAGATGTAACGTAAACATACACCCTGGTCTCTTCGACTTCTTCCTGTATTAGGATGACTAATGCTGGAGACGGCTGATCTTCTAGTGTTTTATTTAGAAAAGCTTTTAACACAGCTGTAGTCTGTGACCCACTTCTAGAAAGAGTGCTAGAAATGAGGAAGGGAAGCTCACAGAGTTGCCTCATGAGAAAACATGTGAACAGAAAGGAAATGTAAAGGGATTTGAAATAAATTATTTTATTATCAAGATAACAGTAGAAAAGCCAATTCCAATTTTTTGTGTGTTTATAACCTTCTTTTTAAATATCTTTCTTCAATCAGTTGAGAAAGTTGATTAGTTGATTAATCTTTAGGTAGTAAATAGCAACGGATGCGCTCATTTACCAACCAAAACTTGCTCTAGTTTTGGCTTCTTGTTGTTTATTTTTCTTACAATATCATCATATCACTTGGAGTACAGCAACATGTACTTATTTTGTGATATTATTCCATTTTTACATGCATAGTAGACAGCGGTCATCATGATATTTTAAATTACTACAAAAGGCTGTTTCCCATGAGAGGCTGTTGTTCTCTGCACATCTGCAAAGGTGTAAATTGATAAATGACATCTGGTGGTTCATGCAGTTTTTACCTGCTAATTAGCTGTAAGAACATCTGTTGTTTTAATATATTGTATATATTTGTTTGCATATTCCATTCTCAGTGGCAGTCCAGGTAAGAACTTGAATTACGTGAACATTTCTGCAGGACTAAAATGTCAAAACAAACTTCAACTTCCATGAAGTTCATTTTAATCAGAACACACTAACTGAATCTGCATCAGGAGGGTTAATTGCACAAAAGCTTTACTGTTGGTTAAGCTATGATATGTAACTCTGGCAGGAAATGATTTTATCCTTATGCATATGGTCATTAACTTTTTATGTAAAAAATAAAAAGTGACAGTGATTTAATGCAACTGAGAACAGGACAATTTAAATGGTATTTTGTCTGGATGTTTGGAGAAATATTTTCTCAGAGCTGTTGCCTGCAGACCTAATAAACTGGCAAAGTCACTTTAAACCGATTGTTAAACGTGAGTAAATATTGTGAGAAACATTCCAAGAGTTATTACTCATTTCATTTAATAAACCAAGCAGTGAATGTTTGCAGAGGTTCTATTCTGTTGGAAAATAGATAAAAAGTAAAAGCCACATTAAAAAAGACAAATTTTTCGCTGAAAATGTTTTGCTAGTGAATGACACTTGCAGTCACCTCATTGATCTGGCTGCTGACTTCACCAAAGCTGTACAGCTATTGTTAGTGCAAACCTTGATTGCTCATTCCATTCACCTGCCTAGCTCTGCCTAGTTTCTCATTACCACTTGTCTGTATCACCTGCTCCAGCCTCTATTTAACCTGCCTTCTTCCAGTCATCAGTGCCAGATCATTAGAGCCCTTGGTGAGAGTCTTCTAGCGTAACTTAGTGTTTTTTGATTGCCTGATCCTGCCTTAGATGTCCTAGCTGTTCACTGACGATCCGCAACTTTAAATAAACACTTTCTTTGAAATATAATACTGTTTGCCTGCTTGAATACTGGGTACTCTGTTTGGAGCCTTTACATTTAGTCCTTTCTTCATTATTTTAGCCAAAAAACATTATTTGAGGAGTGACTTGTTGATGAGGACGGGTCTTCCCTCTTTTTAAAAAAAATCTTATTTGCTCTCACAAAGATAATTTTGTGTGTGGGTGTCCAAACGTTTGACATATTCCAGTTAATGTTTCTTTATATCGTTAAAAAAACAAAACAAAAACAAAAAACAGTACTTTGTTTAGATTTAAAGATCATCAATATACCTAGCAGCTCCTTTTTCACAGAGGAATGGCTCCAAAGGCTCTTTGTGAGTAAAAAATATAAATGTTTCTGATGTACCCTCTTAAAAAACCCATAGAAATGCAGGTTGTAATTCATTTTCTAATTAATGCTTTCAATTTTTTTAGGCTTTCTGGCCCCATGCTATGAAGACGTTGGCCTTTCATCACCAACATGATGCTCTGTAGGTAGTGTTCTTTTTAATTTTCGGTCATTGTAGGAATATTAGCACTTCCATCCATCGATCGATCGATCGATCCATCGATCCATCCATCGATCCATCCATCCATCCATCCATCCATCCATCCATCCATCAAACATGCAGACTGGCTAACCATAAAGGTCCCATACTGTCTGTAAGCAGATACCCATGGAGGTATTTACAAACACAACATGGATAAAGTTTTAATTAGAAATGGCTGATTTGCATCAAAGAACAAAATGTCAGGATTAAGTTTGGATAAGATTCTTATATTTGTTCATTTGTTTGTAATTTTCAGCTTTCATGAAATTCAAGAATAAACATTCAATGACTTTTATTGTAGAAAAAAAATGTTTAGCCCCTTTATTAAAAAAAAAACAAACATGCTAGTACCTCAGTATTTTGTCTCTGGCCCTGCTAAGTATAAGGATGACCAACTGAAATAAAGAACATTTTGAACGGTGCTGAAGTGAATTACATAATGATTTACCTCAGAGGCTCTAAATTAGGGGGCAAGGATTTTATCATCAGTACAGCTTAATGGATAGAATCTGAGAACCACAGTAGAGGCAAATCAACAGACAATTATTTATTGGCGAAGCAATTTATAACGGTTAACTTATTCA